AGCCACAACCTCCGTCGAAGTCGTCGTCGACTTCGTCGAGCAGGGGCGCAGGTCGGTGCAGAGTACTCTGCCGGAGTAGCGTGCTCGACCAAGGTTATCGCCGACAGAAGACACCAGCAGCATCTCTCCGCCGTCGTCTTGTAGCTTCACGCCGTTCTCCTTGAGCTGGCCAGCAGACAGCAGGTTCGCGTGAACACCCGGAACGTAGAGTAGGTCGGGGACGAGGACCTGCTTCCCGGCCTCCCCTTGCAGAACAACGGTGCCTTTGCCTTTGACGCTCTGAAGTGCCCCGTTGAAGCCGCGGACGTGGCGAACGTCGCCGCTCGGCTGCATGTCGACGAAGGCCTCCTTCGTCCCCATCAAATGGTGGGAGCAGCCGCTGTCGAGCAGCACGACAGTCGGATTGGCCTGCACAGCAGCAGCGACCGCCTTGAAGTCTTCGCCAGCCTCCAGCGCCAGCAAGATCGTCGGCTCCACCACGTCGACCATCGAGCACGAAGCCTCCTCGCCACGAGTGTTGCCGCCAGAGGAGTCAGCATTCTTCGTCAAAGACGTCTTCGGCGCCTGCTTCTCCTTGCGCGGCTGGTTGTCGCGGCGTCGACGACCGTCGACAGACTTCCCGCGGCTTCCCTTGTGGTCATCGTCGTCAGATTTCTTGCGATCGGGGCAGTCATACGAGAGGTGGTCGGGCGCATCGCAGATGTAGCAGCGCCGTCCTTCTCGACGCGAGCCACCGCCACCGCGATCACCTCCCTTCGCCGACTTCCCGCGGTCTGCACCCTCCGTCGACTTCGTGTTTCGACGAATTCCAGCCACCGCCTCCGCCAGACTGCCCACGCTGCCCCTGTTGGCGTCCCTGCTTTGCCGGGGCGACGTAGTGGGCCTGCGGAAGCAAATCTGCGGACATCTCGGACTCCTGCATGAACTCGTCCTGGATGATGTGGCTCGAAAGTGAGTCCTCGTTCAGAGTCTCGCGCGTGTCGGGAACTGTCAGCATCCGGCGCATCAGATTGTAGCCCGAAGGGAGGCCACTAATGACATGAGTGACATACGACGCCACCGAGTAGTCGACGCCGGCCATCCGCAGATCGGCCAAAACTCGCCGTGCTCGATTGCAGTACTCGGTCGCCGATTCCTACTCTCCCATACGAATGTTGGTCAACTTCTTCTCCAGTTGACTGATGTAGAGGTCGTCGATCGCTTTGTAGGTGCGCATGATGTACTGCCACGCTTGGTAGCCAGCATCCACGCGTTGTCTGCACGACTTCAATGCGACATGCACCAGAGGCGAGCAACACCTCGAAATGACCATGAAGGTCAGTATATGAGCAGCGCGAAATTCCGCCCAGAGTTCAGAGTCGTCTGCGTCCGGCGTCTCAACATTGCCGTCGACGAACTTCTTCAATCCGACGATCTCCAGCTGAGGCTCGATGGATTTAATCCACGTGATCAAGTCGTGTCGACCTTCGAGTGGCTTCGGCACAGCGATCTTGTCCGGCGAAATTTTAAAATATCCGTACGCCGGGGCGATGCCTCCGTCTCGACCAGCTGACGCATGAGTCGCCGAAGTCGGCCTGATTCCACTCCGCAGAGGAGATTGACGTCGACCATCGATGTTGCCGTTCGAGCTGCCCCCAGTCGCAGACGAATGCAGCATTTGCGCCTGCACTCCGCCAATGCTGACGTCGGCGGGCAGAATCACTCCGCGAACCCTCGTGCTTCCACCGCCGACAACATTGCCGCCATCACCTTCGTTGTGCACGGGTCGGGGGGAGGCGGACGCACCGTCCGCTTCTGCATGGGGAGGGGGATGCTCACGCGCCCACTGCGCACGAGTTCCAAAGAGAAGAATCTCCAAGTCCGCCTCGCCATACTCGCCAGCCTCGTGGCGTGCCCGAACATCAGCCTCTCTCGCCTGCAGGGTATCATCTACGCCTGCTTCGACTACAGGGTCGACCATGGCGGTCTAGACGGCTACCGGCCTACAACAACTTAGGTAATGAACGCAAATATCGGCTATCTGAAGGTTCTAACGCGGGTCCCTCCACGCTCACCGCACCATGCGGAGAATGCTATTCTACGGGAGAGCTGAATTGCGTGGGACGCACGGTCAGAGTTCTGGCAGTGATTCTTGACAGAGTGTTAGAATGCCTTAGTAGAATTCAAGCATAGTTTCACTAAGAAAAGTTGATAGAACAAGATTAGAATACAAGCAAAGAGATCCAAATAGCAGAAGACAGAACCCTGAAGATAATGTTCCTTGGCATACACTTGACTTTGTCTAGCCAGCAACGGCAGGTGAAACGGCAAGCACATGCATCTTTCACGTGAGTTGGCAGTTGCTCAGGTTTTACAACATTCAGAGTTGTATACGTTTTTGTAGTTTGCAAAAACGTGTTTCAGGTTCTGTTCATTAGCAGATTCGAATTCTCCTGGGGAGTACAATTTCCGAGATTACCTGATTGGTCGAAATTTGTTGTTCCGCGATTGGTCGAAATTCGCGTACATTGCGAATTTCGGAGACAAGTCCTTGAGGTCGACCTGAAACGCTCTGCTCGACGATGCACTCGTCGAGCACAATTCTGTCGACCACCGATCCGTCGAAACGCCAATTCTGCCAATTCCGTTGACCAGCGAAGCTCGTCTTCGACGCCGATTTACTCCCGTCGAGGAGCGCCTCGTCGACTGGTACTTTCGTCGCGCAGAAGAAACACTTCTACCTAGACAATTAGTCTCGTCGACAGACGGCTCGCCGCACACAGATAAAAGTCCCCAAATTCGCTGATGACCACGAAAAGAAGCCGTCTGCACACCGTTGTCCTCCCGGAAGCATGGTCTACCTCGACCAAGCGAGGGCGGGGCCTTTTCTCTTCGACAAGAATTTTCGAGGCGGATGACCGGAGCGCGGGTTACCAACCGAACCGTGAGGCTGGGTCGCGATGTGCACAGTGGAGGGAACAGTGATCGAGGCGAGTGTCGCGTGCGGGTAACGTTTTACTGTGGGGTGCTGTTGTCGGGAACAGTCGTGTTCGCGTCAAGCAGGGGCGTGAAGTACGGAAAATGAATTTTCCTTATACTTTTGCGGGGTAAGATAGACATTGAAGGTTTTGAGTCGCCTCACAAACGCCATGGCGGTCTTGACGTTGTTCAGTTTCAGTAATTTGTCAAGGTGTTTTGTCGATTTTTTTTAACTTGAAGGACGTGTAATCACAAGATTTTTGGCGCGCTGGCCGGCCATCGTTGACTTTCCTCGATTCCCTTCATGCTAATCAGGCAAGCCCATAGCCGACAAAAGCGAAGTCTCGCGACTCCCGCTAACGAACACTATTCCATCACACGGACGTTGACGTGTCGAACTGGTGCAATTGCTCGTTTGATAAATGGACGAATGCGGTTAGATGCGATGTGAACCGAGATTTTGTTTGGCGCAGCTGGAGCTTCGAGCCAAGTCCATCCATCAAGTTGGCCAGGCGAACCAAACCAGACCCAAATCTTCGTCGCGTTTGTCGGCTTCGTCACAAAGGTGAGGGGCAGCTGGCGAAGCGACCTCTCGTGAACCATTTGTCACATCACCTGCCTCTCGGTTTGCTGGAAGGTGATTGGCCCAGAAGGTGAGGTCAGACAGGTTCGAAAGTTGGTTCGGCCTTACCTTCGGATGGCACGGCAGCATTTCTCGACTGGGTGTGCCTGGTCGATCGGACCTACTGAGCTGACTCGGACCGTCCAGAGAACAAGGCGGACCGCGCTGGCGTTGTGATACAGTACCAAACGCGGCACAGCGCAGCGCAGGAGCAATCAACACCCAGAAAGCTTCCTAATCTAACCGAGTGGTTCGGAATTAACCTGCAGCCGAGCCATCAGCTTTCCAGCTTCGGAATTGAATGGATGAAAGCATGGCGCAGGTCGTGTGGTGTCGTCGAGTCGAGTCGATCGAGTGGTGGTGGAGGCTGGACTGGAGGCTGCCGAAAATGCCTCCCTCCCCCCCAGCTTGCTCCACCACACCCTCTTGTCGGCCGCCAGGCCTGAAGACAGCAAGTGCAGTAGATTTGGAAGCAAGACGATTGAGATGAGATGGACGCACACATGCGCGATTTAGAAGCCAAAGCTGCAGCTTTGAGTGTTATCCGCTACCCCATTCGAGCCCGAGGAGCGTTCAGCGTAGCCATAGCGACATCAAGCCACGCATCCCTTAGCTACACGCCAGCACTCGCCGCGATAAAGCTACGTCGTTTGAGCTTCATCGCTGCTCGCGGACGGCGAGGTCATTGGCCGCGAGAACCGTGAACGAGCCGCGATAACCACGCTACGTGGGTAGAAGAACGATCCTCAGCACGTGCGATTAGAGCGCGCAACCATCATTATCGAACTGCATGTGCGAAACTCTGCGAGCCGTCAGCTTTTGTTAGAGGCGTTGTGACGGGATGGGCGATCACGATTGGATTCGGCGAATCCCCGAGTGCCCCGTGTACTACCCGACGGAGGACGAGTTCCGCGATCCGCTCGCGTACATCGAGAATATTCGCCCCGAGGCCTCGCTGCACGGTGGGTGGGCCTCGCTGCACTGTGGGTGGGCCTCGCTGCACGGTAGGTGGACATTGTCGGTCCTTCCAGCCGCCACTAACGGGTGCGGCCCGGTGGGGCATCGCGGTAGAATGAGTTGGATTCAACGCAACTCTAAAATGCGTTTATTCCGCCGTTCAGAGTTACCAAAATTCGTTAGCGACGCGCTAACGAGCGCGAGAGCGGGCGGAGAGGCGGTCGTGGTGTGGTGAGCGAGGGATGAAGCGGCGCACCGGGATGGACCCACGCGATATTCGTGCGTGGTTCGCCGCCCGTGACGGCCGCGGGCCGACGATGCAACCGCGAGAGTCGACGCCCTTCGGCGTTGGTCGCGCTCAGCTCGCGCCGCCCCTCCCAGCGACGAACCGCCGCTGGGTGGGAGAGCAAGTGAGGGGGGGACGGGTAGAGGCGAAGTTGCCGCTGCAGCCGACGCTCGGCTCATGGCGCGTGGGAAGGTCACGCCAAGGTCTCTGCGGCTGAGAGGTGGTCGTCGCGGCTCGGTCACGCCACGGAAGGCCGCCCTCCCTGCTCCCCGCGCGCTCCCGCTCACTCCGCACCCCTCTGCCCTCTCCTCTTCGTGTTCGTCTCCCCCCCTTCCGCCTCCCACTCCGCGGCGCGTGAGAACCCCGCCCACTCGCTGACGCGCTTCGACCTGCCGACGTCGCTGCTCCCAGTTCCTCCGCCTCGCCCCTCGTCCCTCCAGAGACCCAGTCCATCCCCACAGCCGCATTCCATCGCGGAAAACGCAAGGGCCGAATGTCACAGAAATGTCACGTCTAACTTGCGAATTCTCGTACAGAAAGTCACATTGTAGTGACTGGCGAAGTGATGATCTCGTCACAGTTTTGTTTCGGTGACACGTGGACACACCGGCGGTCGTGCACGCGTTTGCCACCTTTCACTTTCCCCTCCCGTTCCCTCCCACCAGCACCCCCGTGCAGGCAAGCAGGCTGCGCTGCAGCTCGCGAACCCGCCCCCTGCGCAGCTGCGCGCATGCACGCGGGCCAGGCAATGCAGCGGGGCAGACACGGAGCACCGTTCCACCCGTAAAGACCAACGGTCGCGCCCTCCCCACGTCTTCGCTCCCCTCCCCTCCCGTCCTGGCCCCTCTCCCGCCCCCTGCCCTCACCCCACCCCCCGTGCAGGCATCTGCAAGATCGTGCCGCCCGTGCTGCCCACGGTGCCCGCGGGCCACGTGCTGCAGCGCGGGCAGAAGCGCCCCTTCCGCTTCACCACGCGCGAGCAGCCCGTGCGCGTGGCGGCGTGCGCGCATGGCGACCCACCCGCCTTCCGCATGAGCGGCAGGTGAGCCCCGCCGCTGCCCTTGCATGGTGACGTGGCGACGATACGTTCACGATACTGCCCCACCCACCGCTCCTCCCTCTCGTTCCTCCCTGTCCGTGTCCCACGCCTCGTTCCTCCCTGTCCGTGTCCCACGCCTCGCTTCTCTCGCCCTCATCCTCCCCTCCCTTCACGCCCACCCTTCCACCTCCCCGCCCGCCAACAGAACCTACTCTCTTCCCGAGTTCGAGCGCAAGGCCGATCGCTTCCTGGCCACACGATTCGCCACGTCAGCAGCGCTGCCAGCTGGCATGGTGGAGCAGCTGTACTGGCAGGAGATGGAGGGCGGCGGCAGGGAGGCAGGGGGGCACGCGGAGAGGAACAAGGGCGGAGGGCGAGGGGCGGAGGGGGGGGCTGGGGGCGCAGGGGCGCGCGGGGGGCGGGGGGTGGCGCATGTGGAGTACGGCAGCGACGTGGACGGCACGGGGTTCAGCTGCGACCCGCGCGACCCCCTCGCCTCGTCTGGATGGAACCTCAACGTGTGAACCGCATGCTCTGCCCACCACTGCATAGCCCGCTCACCTCTCTGCCTCTCACCTGCACTGCATGCCTTGTCACCACACCCCTCACTCGTCCTTTTTACCTCTCTCCGCCCATCTCTCCCGTCCTCTCCCAACATTGAACCCCGCCTCGCCTTGCCCCCATCAGCTGCTGCCGCGTCTGCCTGCCTCTGTGCTGCGCCGCCTGCCCGTCGATATCCCCGTTAGTGCCCCTCCCCCCTGCCCCTCCCCCCTGCCCCTCCCCCCTGCCCCTCCCCCCTGCCCCTCCCCCCTGCCCCTCCCCCCTGCCGCGTCCACCCTGCATGTCCCAAGAGAGCATGTGCTCTCTCCTCTCTGTCCCTCCTGCGTGTTTTCACCGCATCCAACCGAGCTGCTGTCTTTGATCGCTGCACTCACTCTCGCCTTCATCCCCACCAACTCCTACAACCACCCCCCGTTTCTCCCCCCAGCCCCTTTCCGCCCACCATCTTTCACCCGCCCATCATCCCATCGCCCCTTCACCCTCCCCGCCCTCCTTCACCGCCCTGCCTCTCTGCATCCTGGTCACCCCTTCTCCCCCCCCCCCCCTTCCCCCACCGCCACGGCAGGGCGTGACGGAACCCATGCTGTACGTGGGGATGCTCTTCAGCACCTTCGCCTGGCACGTCGAGGACCACTACCTCTACAGGTGGGCACGTCGAGGACCACTACCTCTACAGGTGGGCACGTCGAGGACCACTACCTCTACAGGTGGGCACGTCGAGGACCACTACCTCTACAGGTACGCGCTCCATGGCGCGCTGTGCCGAGCTGTGGCGCTGTGAGCCGTGCTGCTGTGCCGTGCTGTGGCGCTGTGAGCCGTGCTGCTGTGCCGTGCTGTGAAGGCCATGGCATGGAAGGGAGTGGCACACAGAGCACAGGGAGGCGTGCATGTGCTGTGCGCTGGTGCTTGTCCCAAACCTGCTCATAGGGGGTTGCTCCCTGTCCCTTAATTCTTCCATCCCATCCCATCCCATCCCATCCCATCCCATCCCATCCCATCCCATCCCATCCCATCCCATCCCATCGCACCTCATTTCATTGCATCCTACTGCGTCCACCTCTCCCCACCTTGGCACCTCCCCCCCCCCAGCATAAACTACCAGCACATGGGCGCGCCCAAGACGTGGTACGGCGTGCCCGCCATGGCGGCGCATGCCTTTGAGGCCCTCGCCATGCGCCACGTGTACGGCCAGGGGGGGGGGCAGGGGCAGGGCGATGGGGGCAGCCTGGTGGAGCGGGGCGAGGGGGGGCGTGCGGATCGGGACCCTAGTGGAGTTGTGAAGAGCGAGGAGGAGGCAGGGAGGGTGCGCGGGGCAGGCGGGGCGGAGGGGAGGGGCGCGGCTGTGCAGGGTGGTGGCGCGGGGGAGGTGAGTGGCGGAGGGCGCGGGCAGAGGGGCACGTGCAGGGAGCAGGGGCGGACGCATGGGCGAGGGGGCGGGTGGGGGGAGAGGAGGGGGGGGCGGGGAGGGCGAGGAGGGCGGGGACGTGGAGGGAGGGGCATGGGTGGGGGAGGGGTGGGTGCATGGAGTGGCGAGGAGAGGGAGGGGGCGAGCGGCTGTGGGGTGGGCGAGGCGGAGAGCGTGGGTGATGCAGGGGCGGGCGAGCAGGGGAGGTGGGGGGGCGGGGCGGTGGGGCGGGCGTGCGCGTTGCTGATGGGAAAGACGAGCATGTTCTCGCCGCGCCTGCTGCTGCCGCATGGCGTGCCCGTGGTGCGTGCCGTGCAGGCGGCGGGGGAGTTCGTGGTGACGTACCCGCGCTCGTACCATGCTGGGTTCAGCCATGGTGAGGGGAAACGGCGGTGGTGGTGGTGATGATGCTGCTGTGTGTGTGATGTGTGGCATGCGGGCAGTGGCACGTGCGTGTAAGCGCGTGCATATGCAGCCCACTCCCTATAGCAGCACATGTGGAAGTCACTTCACGTTCTTCACTGCTTCTCCCCCTGTCTCATCCGTCCTCTCCCCCACCTTTCTCATGTGCTCATCCCTATGCTCGTGCACCCCCCTTGCCCCCCCCACCCCCCAGGCTTCAACTGTGGCGAGGCGGTCAACTTCGCGCCGCCCGACTGGTTCCCCTTCGCTGCTGCTGCCGCCCGCCGCTACGCCGTGCTGCGCCGCCCGCCGCTGCTGTGCTGGGAGGAGCTGCTGTGCCGCCACGTGGTGGCGCTGCTGGCATGCAGGCGGGGCGAGGGGGGCGAGGGGGGTGCGGGGGAGGATGAGGAGCATGCGGAGAAAGAGGCGAGCACAGGGCTGGAGAAGGCGGAGGGGGGTGGGAGTGCAGCGAGGACACACGGGAGGGGGGGAGAGGAGGGGCAGGAGGGGCAGGAGGAGGGGGGAGGGGGGAGGGCAGAGAAGGCGGCACGGCATGCAGTGGTGGTGTTCTCGCCCTGCAAGGAGAGCGGCCCGGGGCCCCCTGCTGACCCTGCTGACCGCGTTGACCGCGTTGACTTGCCTGCCTGTGCAGCGGCAGCAGCGCCTGGTGGCGTGGCAAGCAGCAGTGGCGGTGGCACACAGATAGGGCGCTGTGAGGAGGGCAGTGAGTCTCATGCTCACGCTGTTGACCCGCCTCCCTCCACTCACACCGCTGACACTGCTGACCTCACTCACCCCTCTTACCCTCCTGCCTCCACCACACCCCTCGCCCTCATTCACCCTGCTCACCCTGTGGGCCTTGCTCACCCTACTGATCCCACTGACCCCGTTGACCCAACTGACCCCGTTGACCCCGTTGACCCCGTTGACCCTGTTGACCCTGTTGACCCCACTGACTCGATTGACCCCACTGACGCTATTCAAGCCATCGATGCCATTGACGTCACCCCACCTTGCCTGGCGGCCATGGGCCGGGTGGGGCGCAGCGCAGTGGAGCAGTTTGTGCGGCTGGTGGGCGAGGAGAGGCGCATCCAGGCGTGGATGGAGCAGCGCTCGGCCGTGGTGGCGGTGCTGCCGGGGCTGTCAGCAGCGGTGCCGTGCTCGCTGTGCTGCCGCCTGTGCCACCTGGCCGTGGTGGCGTGCTGCTGTGTGCGCGACCCCATCTGCCTGCACCATGGTGCGTGCATGCACGCGGGCACGCTTGAGTGCGGCCATGGGCTAGCCACAGGACTGACATGCACCATGCATACATTGCCCCACGTTGTATCCCTCGCCCTCCGCTCTGCACCCGCTGCCACATCCCTCAACCGTTCTCCTTCCACCCCCTTGCTCACCACTACCTCTGCCTTCCCCGCTCACCACTACCTCTGCCTTCCCCGCTCAACCATCTCTTCCCCGCCCCTCCCCTCCCCCTTTCCCTTGCGCCATGCACGTGGCAGCCAGCATCAACCACGCGTGTCGCTGTGGTGCCCTGCGCGTCATCTCGCTGCGCCGCCACACACCCGCCCTCCACCGCCTCGCCCTGCGCCTGCACACCGCTCTCTCTGCCTCCCGCATCGCGCCCCACCGCACTGCACGCCCGCCCCAGGAGCACCCGATGGCAGGGCGCGCAGCAGCGGCAGCGGGCGTGCTGGCAGCGCTGGGAGCAGCGGCACCGGCGCGGTGGGATGAGGACGTGGCGGATATCGAATCACTCTCTAACGAGCATGACCTGGAGGGGTTCCGCGGGGGATTTGAGGGGGAGGGGTGGGTGGTTGGGGGTGGGGGGGGCGGAGGGCAGGGGGCGGACATGAAGAATGGGGAGGCGGAGGAAGCAGGAGGAGGGCGTACTGTGGGAGGAATGGGTGCGGTCATTGAGAGCGGTGGCGAGGGGTTCAGTGACGGCACGCATTGTGGTCGTGACATTGACGACAAGCCATGCAATGATATAGCATGTGGTGACGTGGCATGTGGTGGCAATATGTGGTGTGGCACAGGGGAGGGCGAGGAAGCACAGTGTGGTGGCAGTGACTGTGGTGTGAGAGATGGAGGTGGTGAGATGCCATGGGGCAGGCGTGCGTGCCATGATGGCCAGCAACTCAGTGAGCAGCACAGCCGTGCCGCCTGCCCTGCACCACCCTGCTTGCCACCGCCCCACGTGCCTCTGCCACACCCTAGCCAAGCGTGCAAGATGCAGCAGGGTGAAGACATGCGTGGTGAGGGGGAGCAGGTGGCAGCGGTACAGGTCACACAAGGGACCGCCGTGTGTGCTCACCATGCACGCCCAGCAGCTCACGGTGTTGTGAGGGCAGCAGAGGGGCGGGCATGGGAGCAGCGCGGCCAGCGCCCTCCCACAAGGGGGCGTGCTGCCTGCCCACCCCCGGCCCTCCCCTCTCCCGCTCCCCCGCACGCCCATCCCATGGCACCGGGGGGGGCATGCGGTGCGATTCACAGCAGTGCAGCGCGGCACAGGCACGTGAACGCGAATGCGGGCGCGGAGGAGAAGGTGCAGCGAGGGCAGCGCGGCCACATGACAGCGCTGGACGTGCTGCTGCTGCCCGCGCCACCCCCCTCGCTTGCTCCCCCGCCTGCCGCCTCTCTGCTTCACCTCCCCCCACCCGCCTTGCTTGCTTCCCCGCCTGCTGCCTCCGCGGCCTGCCCCCCACCACCCCCCACCTGCACGCCCCGCGCCCTGCTTCCTCCCAGCGCTTCCCGCGCCGCTGTGCTGGCTGAGCGCCGCTCTGCCGTGGCCGCTGATGGCCGTGTGGACGGGCCGTGGGATGGGGGGGGAGGCGGAGTGGGGAGTGGGGGAGAGGGAGAAGGAAAAGGAGTGCATAGGGCGGTGGTGGGAGGGGGAGAAAGAGAGGCAGCGAGTAGTGTGGGCAAGGTGGGCGGGTGTGGTGGGGGGCGGTGGCAGCAGCTGGTAGGGCCGGCGAGGGTGGAGGGGCGCGAGCACGGTGGGGGGGAAGAGGAGGAGGGGCAGAGCGAGGCAGACGAGGGAAGGGTTGTTGAGCAGCGGCAGGGAGGGCGGGCGACGGGGGAGGAGGAGGGGTTGGATGGCGATCATGAGGTGGAGCAAAACGAGGATGCCTTTGGGGCGGTGGGGGCGTTGTCACAGCAGCAGCAGGAGGCGGGGGGGGATTTGAGGAGGGAGGATGGGAAGGGGAAGGATGGAGGGGGGGAAGGTACAGTGGGTGAGCAGATGGCGTGCAGTGGCCGGCAAAGCGTGGGTGAAGAGAGGTGCTGGGAGGGAGGAAGCGGTGAAGAGCGGTGCTGTGGGGAGATGGGATTGGGATGCAGCAGCAGCGGGGGGCGGAGTGGGTGTGATGGGAGACAGGTGGGGAGCAGCGATGGGGCAGCGCTGGCAGGGGTGGTGGATGGGGGCGATGCCATGGTGCCGTCAGCAGGGAGGCGATTAGAGAAAGACATGGCGATGTGTGAGACGGCGGACGGGGAAGGGCGCTGGGGACGAGTGGAGGGCGAGGGGGAAGGAGGGGAGGGAGGAGGGGAGGGAAGAGGGGAGGGAGGACAGGAGGAGATTGGAATGAAAGGAGGAGCGGAGGATAGAAGGGTGGGAGGAAAGGAGAAGCAAGGGAAGCATTCAGAAGAGGAAAAAGGGAAGAAAAGAGGAGAGGTAGGAGAGGAGGAAGGAGGGGAAGAAGGAGAGGAGGAAGGCGGGGAGGGACAAAGGGAGGGAAGAGAGGAGGGAAGGGAAGAAGGAGGGGAGGTAGGAGAGGAGGAAAGGAGGGAGGAAAGTGGGGAGGAGAGAATAAGGGTAGGAGAGGAGGAAGAAGGGGAAGCCAGACAGGAGGAGAGTGGGGAGGGACAAAGGGAGGGAAGAGAAAAGGAAAGTGATGGAAGAAGGGATGGAGGAGAGGAGGAAGAAGGGAAGGACGGAGAGGAGGAAAGAGGGGAGGAAAGAGGAGAGGAAAGAAGGGGGGAAAGTGGGGAGGAAAGAGGGGAGGACGGAAAGGAGCAAAGTGGGGACGAAAGTGGGGAGGAAAGTGGGGAGGAAAATGGGGAAGAAAGTGGGGAGGGGCATGGGGAGGGAAGAGGGGAGGGAGGAGTGGAGGAAGGAGGGGATGAAGGGGAGGAGGTTAGAGGGAAGGAAAGAGGGAAGGACGGAGAGGAGGGAAGCGAGGGAAAAGGCATGGATGAAGGGAGAGAGGGAGGAACAGAGAAAGGGAGAGTGGGAGGAACAGAGAAAGGGAGAGAGGGAGGAACAGAGAAAGGGAGAGAGGGAGGAGTGAAGGTGCGAGGGGATGGAGGTGAAGGGGAAGGTGAGTGGGGAGGTGAGGAAAGAGGTGAGGGGGGAGGGGAGGGCGTGGAAGGGGCGGTGCGTGCAGGCAGGGGTGGAAGGGCGGGTGGGTGTGAGGGGGGTGGTGGCGCCTGCAATGGCGTGCGCAGGGTAGATGGAGGAAGCGGCGAGTGGCGTGGCGAGTGGGATGCGCGTGGGGAGAGGGCACTAGATGCGAGTGAGGTGGGGTGCGCACCATGTGATGCATCATCAGGTGAGGCGGTAGCAGCAGCAGCGGGTGCAGGGGGGGGAGGTGATAGTGGCGGGGATGTGCGTCGACACCACTGCCAACCATCTGCACCTCTTCTTCCTCTCCATGCCCTTGCTTCTGCCACCCCTCATGCTCATGCTCACGCTGCTGCTGCTCATGCTGCTCACGTTGATGCTGCTGCTGATGCTGATGCTGATGCTGATGCTGGTTCTGATGCTGATGCTGATGCTGGTGGTGGTGCTGATGCTGATGCTGGTGGTGGTGCTGATGCGGATGCTGGTGGTGGCACTGACGCTGGTGGAGGCACTGAAGCGGGCAGTGGTGGTGTGTGTGCTGTGCGAGGGGAGGATGTTGCCAAGCCGCTGGGCTCCCCAGGAAGGGCGCTGGGCAGGATGGTGGGGCAGGAGGGGCAGCAGGAGGGGCAGCAGGAGGGGCAGCAGGAGGGGCAGCAGCGGTGCAGCGGAGGGGCGAGCAGGCGGCGGCGGCGGCAGCTGTGGATGGTGTGGGACGGCGGGCGGCGCCGCAAGAAGAGCCGCTCCACTCAGGGGGGACCATTGCCAGGCGCTGCTGCTGGCGCTGCTGCCCCCTCGCCCCGTGCTCATGGCAGCGCTGCTGCCCCACGTGGTGGCGGTGGGTGTGCTGGCAGCACCAGCAGTGGCAGTGCGAACAGCAGCGGTGACGAGTGGCGCTGGGCGTGGGAGAGCAAGGGGCGGAGGAGCAGGCGGGGCAGGCGAGACGTGGGGCACTTGTTGACACGAGGGGAGAAGGGGGGAACGGCGGTAGGAGCGAGGGGGGAGAAGAGGAAGGCGGAGGATGAGGGGAGGGTGGAGGCGGGCATGGCGGCAGCAGTGAGTCCGGTGAAGCAGAGGCGGTTGGTGGAGGTGAGTGGAGGGGGGCGGCAGTGCAAGGGCGTTGAGAGAGGGGAGGGGTGTTGCGGGGAGCATGGAAGGAGTGGGCATGGGAGGTGGGGGCTCACGAGCGCACGCATGGCATGCAAGCGAAGGCGGGTCGAGGTGCGAGAGTGGCGAGGTCTCTTTGGTGGAAAGCAGCGCGGTGAAGAGCGGTGCCGCGCGCAGCTGTAGAGCCATGGCGGGCCGTGGGCAGGGCGGGGAAGGCGGCCCAGTGGAGGAGGGAGGGGGGGGGTGGGGGGCGGAGGGCCCGTGGGAGAAGGGCTTCTGGCAGCTCGTGGTGCGGCAGCGCCGCACGTGGCAGTACCGCCTATCCAGCCCTGGCGCTTACGACTGACACAAGGTCAAGGCTACACAAAGCAAGTCATTTTTGCTTTCAGCAGATACCCTAGAAAGTGGGAGCCTTGGAATGCTGTTAGTTTACTTAGCAGTAGTTTCAGATGTACATTCACTAATCTCCTATGTTATGCTCTCCCTGCCTAAATCGGAGGCGAGCCAAGAAGGCGTACGAACGAAAGGCTTTCCATTTCCCAACTTCGTGGAGCCCACAAACCTGGAAGCAAAACAGCCTCTCCACCAATCAACAGCCGCCTCACTGGGCGTAAGGGCATGCTTTTGCCAACCTGGCAGCCAACTGTGCGCCCGACGTGACACAATCGAGAGCTGCACGTGCCTCGCCACGCGCACCTCGATATTCCACCCCTCGATTGCTTCCGCGGCCTCCCCACCTTCTCTACCCCACCACGCCCGCCACCACGCGAGTCTGTGCGTCTCTCAGCTCCCGCCACTCCACCCACACACGCCTCACCGCTCCACTCGTTGCGTGCCCCTCCTCGCCACCGCCACCAAATCGCTTCGCCACATAAGCGCGGCGTCAGCCTTCCTCGCGCGCCCCGAATCTGCTGAACCCCGCTTGCACGGAGCTCGCTGCGTGCTGCCCGCGTGCTCGCGCCGTCTCGATTCCTCATTCGCTCTCCCCCCACGCGTGCTCGCCTCGCGTGCGATCAGCTCTTCCCCTGCCGACCGGCTTGCGGCGCCCGTGCGGATCGCGATCGCGCGGAATGGGGGGAGGAGGCGGAAGCGGGGAGGTAGTGGTGGACGGGAAGCGGATGTACGTACCCGTTTATGGCATCCTCGCTAGCAGCGCCATGTCCGCGTGCTTCGCCGAGGTGAGATCCGCGGCGTCTCTCGCCGCTCTGCCTCCCTCCGCCGCCTCGCAAACTCCCTCTTTGCGCGTCCCGATTCCCGTCGCCCCGCGTGACCTCCTTTCTCGTGGCCTGCGCTGGGGTGACGCGCGTCTCGGGTAGCCAGCAGCCGCGTGGGCCATTGCACCGCCCGTCCTCTCCTCTTCCCCCGTTCCCCCCGCGACCACCCCCCCCCCTTCCCCTGCGCGCAGTTCTGCACGCTGCCCATCGACACGGCCAAGGTGCGCCTGCAGCTGCAGGGCAAGCCGTCGGCGGGAGCGGGCGGAGCAGCGGGCGCAGTGAAGTACCGCGGGATGGTGGGGACGATGGGGACGATCGCGCGCGAGGAGGGGCTGTCGGCGTTGTGGAAGGGGCTCGTGCCGGGGCTGCACCGCCAGTGCGTCTATGGCGGCCTGCGCATCGGCCTCTACGACCCCGTGAGTCACCCTCCATGCGCCCTCTACCACCCCGTGAGCCTCCATGCGCCCTCTACCACCCCGTGAGCCTCCATGCGCCCTCCACCACCCCGTGAGCCTCCATGCGCCCTCTACGACCCCGTGAGTGTGCTGCAGTGCTGCAGTGCGGTGGCAAGGTGGCAGAGGCGGCGCCCATGGCAGGGTGCGGTGGTGGGCAGGGTGCGGTGGTGGGCAGGGTGCGGTGGTGGGCAGGGTGCGGTGGAAGGGGCTGTGATGAGCGCCGACTTGCCACTTATGTTCAAGCTTCTCTGCTCCTTGTTGCTCCCATGCCCACTGCTCCCTGCCCCCTGCCCTGTGCCCCGTGCCCTGTGCCCCCTGCCCTGTGCCCCCTGCCCTGTGCCCACTGCTCCCTGCCCCCTGCCCTGTGCCCCCGTGCCCTGTGCCCCCTGCCCTGTGCCCCCTGCCCTGTGCCCCGTGCCCTGTGCCCCGTGCCCTGTGCCCCCTGCCCTGTGCCCACTGCTCCCTGCCCCCTGCCCTGTGCCCCGTGCCCTGTGCCCCCTGCCCTGTGCCCCGTGCCCTGTGCCCCCTGCCCTGTGCCCCGTGCCCTGTGCCCCCTGCCCTGTGCCCCCTGCCCTGTGCCCACTGCTCCCTGCCCCCTGCCCTGTGCCCCCGTGCCCTGTGCCCCCTGCCCTGTGCCCCCTGCCCTGTGCCCCGTGCCCTGTGCCCCGTGCCCTGTGCCCCCTGCCCTGTGCCCACTGCTCCCTCCCCCCTGCCCTGTGCCCCGTGCCCTGTGCCCCCTGCCCTGTGCCCCGTGCCCTGTGCCCCCTGCCCTGTGCCCCGTGCCCTGTGCCCCCTGCCCTGTGCCCCCTGCCCTGTGCCCCGTGCCCTGTGCCCCCTGCCCTGTGCCCCCTGCCCTGTGCCCCGTGCCCTGTGCCCCCTGCCCTGTGCCCCCTGCCCTGTGCCCCCTGCCCTGTGCCCCCTGCCCTGTGCGCCCTGCCCTGTGCCCCCTACCCTGTGCCCCCTGCCCTGTGCGCCCTGCCCGTGGCATGTGCGTGGTGGGGCGGACAGGTGAAGGCGCTGTTCGTGGGCAAGGACCACACGGGCGACGTGCCTCTCACCGTCAAGATCGCCGCCGCCCTCACCACAGGTGCCGTGTCATGGCCCCCTGCTCCCTCCCACCACCCCACCCGTGCTGCCCTGCTCGCACCCGTGCTAGACTGTGCTCATCCATTGCTCGTTCGCACATGCTATGCTCGTTTCTCTGATCATTCCAACCCAACAACCGCCTCCCTTCAAGCGCCCTCACTCTCTCCTCACCATGCACCATGCGCCATGCGCCATGCACCATGCACGATGCACCATGCACCATGCACCATGCACAGGGGCGGTGGGCATATCAATCGCCAACCCCACGGATCTGGTGAAGGTGCGCCTGCAGTCGGAGGGGCGTCTGGCGCCCGGCACGCCCAAGCGCTACTTCCGGTGCTCTCAACGCCTACGCCACCATCGCCCGCCAGGTGAGCAGCTGACGGGATGGCAGGTGGAGTGGAGGGGTTTTCCTTCCTCGCATGCGTCCCTCGAGCTCTTCCCTTCCCCTCCATTCTCAATTCCACCACTCTTCACGCTTCCCAGTCTCCGCATTTTTGCCGTTGTCCCTCTTCCTTTTTTGCAATAATGGGAAAGAGAAATGCAACTGCTACTTTCAACACTTCAAACTCTAAACCTCAAATGACGTTATCTTGATGACATTCTAGGACACAGGTATTTCTAAGACACGAAGTCGAAAGCTAGTCATGGGCCTTGAACGCTCACTCTCACGGCTGCTGGCATGGCATGGCATGGCATGGCAGGAGGGCGTGGCGGCGCTGTGGACGGGTGTGGGGCCCAACATCGCACGCAACGCCATCATCAACGCCGCTGAGCTCGCCAGCTATGACCAGATCAAACAGGTGTGGCAGGACGTGCGCTGCACTGCTCCTCACATGCGCTGCACTGCTCCTCACATGCGCTGCACTGCTCCTCACATGCGCTGCACTGCTCCTCACATGCGCTGCACTGCTCCTCACATGCGCTGCACTGCTCCTCACATGCGCTGCACTGCTCCTCACATGTGCTGCACTGCCCACATGCGCTGATCACTTCAAAATCTCTCTCTCATCTCTATCCGTCGTTGCCCCTCCCCTCCCTGCCCTGCCCTGACCTGCCCTGCACCCGCCAGTCGCTGCTCAAGGTACCGGGCTTCGGGGACAACGTGGGGACGCACCTCATCGCTGGGCTCGGCGCCGGCTTCTTCGCCGTCTGCATCGGCTCGCCCGTCGATGTGGTCCGTGCCGCCGCGCCTGCCCACACCACCTGCCGCACACCGCTCCCTGTTCGCTCATGCACATCCCTCTCACCGCACCCCTCTCTCAGCGCTCTCTCATTTTGAACACCCCTTCCCCACACTCCGTTCCCCCTTCCCCTCACTCCTCTCCCATTCCCCACGCCCCCCCCCCCCCCCCCCCCCTTTCCCCACACTCCCCACCCCCTTCTTCACACCTTCACCCCCCCCCCCCCTCCCACACTCCGCGCCGTGCCTTCACCTCCCCCTCATTGTCCAACTCCCGAGTCCCGGTTTTCTCTCTCACTGCTTTGCCCGTTCATCTCACTCCGCACTCTTGCCTCTCTTCCTCGCCCCTCTCCTCCTGCTGTCTACCACCCCTGCCCCTGCCTCTTGTGCCACTTGCATACCAGGTGCAGGCACGGTGAGAGCACGTGGCAGTGCCAGCCTGCCACGGTGAGAGCACGTGGCAGTGCCAGACTGCCAGCCTGCCAGCCTGCCAGCCTGCCAGCCTGCCAGGGGCCGCTGCTCTTCTCAACCCTTCACGTCCCTCTCCCACACCCAACCCCTTTGCACTCCCCCCCTTTCCCTGCCTCCTTTCCCCCACCCCCTCCCTCCCTCGGCGGGCGAGCAGGTGAAGTCGAGGGTGATGGGCGACAGCAGCGGGCAGTACAAGGGCACGCTCGACTGCTTCCTCAAGACCTTCCGCAACGACGTGCGTGCCCCTTCCCTGCCACCCCTGCTGCTCGCAGCTATCTAGTCCGATTGGGTGCATGGGAGTTGTGTCGCTTGCCTTGCTCCTGTGCTGCTGCCCGTACAGCTTCTCTCATTGGCATGATCTCTCCATCCATGTGCTCATTCAACTGCTCCATCCATGTGCTCATTCAACTGCTCCATCCATGTGCTCATTCAACTGCTCCATCCATGTGCTTTTAGTGCAAGCGCGCACCAGGTGAGCGGGCTGCAGTGCCACCAGGTGAGCGGGCTGCAGGGCCACGGCCCACTGTGGGCGGAGGCAGTGACGCCGTGTGGTACGTGGGGTGGGTGGGCGCGCCCAAGGGCTGCCTGGCGCCACTGTCCGCCAGGGGCGCTGGGAGCAGAGTGGTGTGATGGAAGGGGCATGCGCATGTGTCAACGCTGCATGGGAAGTCGCGTCGCCTGCGTAGGTGGCTTTGCTGTGGTAGTGCTTGCTGCTCCCGCCTGCCGCATCTCTTGCCGCCCGCCCCATGCCATGGTGGCGCGTGGGTGTTGGGAGCTGATGGCGTCCCCCCTCTCCATGCACAGCTGATGGCGTCCCCCCTCTCCATGCACAGCTGATGGCGTCCCCCCTCTCCATGCACAGCTGATGGCGTCCCCCCTCTCCATGCACAGCTGATGGCGTCCCCCCTCTCCATGCACAGCTGATGGCGTCCCCCCTCTCCATGCACAGCTGATGGCGTCCCCCCTCTCCATGCACAGCTGATGGCGTCCCCCCTCTCCATGCACAGCTGATGGCGTCCCCCCTCTCCATGCACAGCTGATGGCGTCCCCCCTCTCCATGCACAGCTGATGGCGTCCCCCCTGTGCATGTACAGCCTCTCTCATGCGCATGTGCGCAGCGATGGGCGGTGGTGATGGCAGCGGGCGTTCATGGTCGTGGCTGCCACTCAGGAGTGGAGGCAGGCTGAGAGGCACTAGAGTGGCGAACAAAGACGATCCGCATGGATGAACCCGGAAGCGCGAGCCCCTCTCAACCCGCAAGTTGCTTGCTCTTGCATGTCTCCGCGTCTGCTTGGTGGCGTGCCAGCTGTCTCAACGGCACAAGTCCATGCAGACTCTCATGCAACCATTACTCTTGTGGGAGTGCCATGAGCTGTCGTGCGAGTGGCATGTAGCACGTGCAGGCTGTAGCACGTGCAGGCTGTAGCACGTGCAGTACTCTCCAATGCCAACGACGGTATGCTGCACCTGGTCCCTCTCTTGCCACATCCTCTCCCCTCTCCCCTCACAACTCCCTCCCCCCCTTCCCCTCCCCTCCCCCCCTCCCCCCCTCCCCCCCCCACAGGGCGTGATGGCGTTCTACAAGGGCTTCATCCCCAACTTCGGCCGCCTGGGCTCCTGGAATGTCATCATGTTCCTCACGCTCGAGCAGGTGCGTTCCGCCCTCACGCTCGAGCAGGTGCGTTCCGCCCTCACGCTCGAGCAGGTGCGTTCCGCCCTCACGCTCGAGCAGGTGCGTTCCGCCCTCACGCTCGAGCAGGTGCGTTCCGCCCTCACGCTCGAGCAGGTGCGTTCCGCCCTCACGCTCGAGCAGGTGCGTTCCGCCCTCACGCTCGAGCAGGTGCGTTCCGCCCTCACGCTCGAGCAGGTGCGTTCCGCCCTCACGCTCGAGCAGGTGCGTTCCGCCCTCACGCTCGAGCAGGTGCGTTCCGCCCTCACGCTCGAGCAGGTTGCGTTCCGCCCTCACGCTCGAGCAGGTGCGTTCCGCCCTCACGCTCGAGCAGGTGCGTTCCGCCCTCACGCTCGAGCAGGTGCGTTCCGCCCTCACGCTCGAGCAGGTGCGTTCCGCCCTCACGCTCGAGCAGGTGCGTTCCGCCCTCACGCTCGAGCAGGTGCGTTCCGCCCTCACGCTCGAGCAGGTGCGTTCCGCCCTCACGCTCGAGCAGGTGCGTTCCGCCCTCACGCTCGAGCAGGTGCGTTCCGCCCTCACGCTCGAGCAGGTGCGTTCCGCCCTCACGCTCGAGCAGGTGCGTTCCGCCCTCACGCTCGAGCAGGTGCGTTCCGCCCTCACGCTCGAGCAGGTGCGTTCCGCCCTCACGCTCGAGCAGGTGCGTTCCGCCCTCACGCTCGAGCAGGTGCGTTCCGCCCTCACGCTCGAGCAGGTGCGTTCCGCCCTCACGCTCGAGCAGGTGCGTCCGCCCTCACGCTCGAGCAGGTGCGTTCCGCCCTCACGCTCGAGCAGGTGCGTTCCGCCCTCACGCTCGAGCAGGTGCGTTCCGCCCTCACGCTCGAGCAGGTGCGTTCCGCCCTCACGCTCGAGCAGGTGCGTTCCGCCCTCACGCTCGAGCAGGTGCGTTCCGCCCTCACGCTCGAGCAGGTGCGTTCGCCCTCACGCTCGAGCAGGTGCGTTCCGCCCTCACGCTCGAGCAGGTGCGTTCCGCCCTCACGCTCGAGCAGGTGCGTTCCGCCCTCACGCTCGAGCAGGTGCGTTCCGCCCTCACGCTCGAGCAGGTGCGTTCCGCCCTCACGCTCGAGCAGGTGCGTTCCGCCCTCACGCTCGAGCAGGTGCGTTCCGCCCTCACGCTCGAGCAGGTGCGTTCCGCCCTCACGCTCGAGCAGGTGCGTTCCGCCCTCACGCTCGAGCAGGTGCGTTCCGCCCTCACGCTCGAGCAGGTGCGTTCCGCCCTCACGCTCGAGCAGGTGCGTTCCGCCCTCACGCTCGAGCAGGTGCGTTCCGCCCTCACGCTCGAGCAGGTGCGTTCCGCCCTCACGCTCGAGCAGGTGCGTTCCGCCCTCACGCTCGAGCAGGTGCGTTCCGCCCTCACGCTCGAGCAGGTGCGTTCCGCCCTCACGCTCGAGCAGGTGCGTTCCGCCCTCACGCTCGAGCAGGTGCGTTCCGCCCTCACGCTCGAGCAGGTGCGTTCCGCCCTCACGCTCGAGCAGGTGCGTTCCGCCCTCACGCTCGAGCAGGTGCGTTCCGCCCTCACGCTCGAGCAGGTGCGTTCCGCCCTCACGCTCGAGCAGGTGCGTTCCGCCCTCACGCTCGAGCAGGTGCGTTCCGCCCTCACGCTCGAGCAGGTGCGTTCCGCCCTCACGCTCGAGCAGGTGCGTTCCGCCCTCACGCTCGAGCAGGTGCGTTCCGCCCTCACGCTCGAGCAGGTGCGTTCCGCCCTCACGCTCGAGCCAGGTGCGTTCCGCCCTCACGCTCGAGCAGGTGCGTTCCGCCCTCACGCTCGAGCAGGTGCGTTCCGCCCTCACGCTCGAGCAGGTGCGTTCCGCCCTCACGCTCGAGCAGGTGCGTTCCGCCCTCACGCTCGAGCAGGTGCGTTCCGCCCTCACGCTCGAGCAGGTGCGTTCCGCCCTCACGCTCGAGCAGGTGCGTTCCGCCCTCACGCTCGAGCAGGTGCGTTCCGCCCTCACGCTCGAGCAGGTGCGTTCCGCCCTCACGCTCGAGCAGGTGCGTTCCGCCCTCACGCTCGAGCAGGTGCGTTCCGCCCTCACGCTCGAGCAGGTGCGTTCCGCCCTCACGCTCGAGCAGGGTGCGTTCCGCCCTCACGCTCGAGCAGGTGCGTTCCGCCCCTCACGCTCGAGCAGGTGCGTTCCGCCCTCACGCTCGAGCAGGTGCGTTCCGCCCTCACGCTCGAGCAGGTGCGTTCCGCCCTCACGCTCGAGCAGGTGCGTTCCGCCCCTCACGCTCGAGCAGGTGCGTTCCGCCCTCACGCTCGAGCAGGTGCGTTCCGCCCTCACGCTCGAGCAGGTGCGTTCCGCCCTCACGCTCGAGCAGGTGCGTTCCGCCCTCACGCTCGAGCAGGTGCGTTCCGCCCTCACGCTCGAGCAGGTGCGTTCCGCCCTCACAGCTCGAGCAGGTGCGTTCCGCCCTCACGCTCGAGCAGGTGCGTTCCGCCCTCACGCTCGAGCAGGTGCGTTCCGCCCTCACGCTCGAGCAGGTGCGTTCCGCCCTCACGCTCGAGCAGGTGCGTTCCGCCCTCACGCTCGAGCAGGTGCGTTCCGCCCTCACGCTCGAGCAGGTGCGTTCCGCCCTCACGCTCGAGCAGGTGCGTTCCGCCCTCACGCTCGAGCAGGTGCGTTCCGCCCTCACGCTCGAGCAGGTGCGTTCCGCCCTCACGCTCGAGCAGGTGCGTTCCGCCCTCACGCTCGAGCAGGTGCGTTCCGCCCTCACGCTCGAGCAGGTGCGTTCCGCCCTCACGCTCGAGCAGGTGCGTTCCGCCCTCACGCTCGAGCAGGTGCGTTCCGCCCTCACGCTCGAGCAGGTGCGTTCCGCCCTCACGCTCGAGCAGGTGCGTTCCGCCCTCACGCTCGAGCAGGTGCGTTCCGCCCTCACGCTCGAGCAGGTGCGTTCCGCCCTCACGCTCGAGCAGGTGCGTTCCGCCCTCACGCTCGAGCAGGTGCGTTCCGCCCTCACGCTCGAGCAGGTGCGTTCCGCCCTCACGCTCGAGCAGGTGCGTTCCGCCCTCACGCTCGAGCAGGTGCGTTCCGCCCTCACGCTCGAGCAGGTGCGTTCCGCCCTCACGCTCGAGCAGGTGCGTTCCGCCCTCACGCTCGAGCAGGTGCGTTCCGCCCTCACGCTCGAGCAGGTGCGTTCCGCCCTCACGCTCGAGCAGGTGCGTTCCGCCCTCACGCTCGAGCAGGTGCGTTCCGCCCTCACGCTCGAGCAGGTGCGTTCCGCCCTCACGCTCGAGCAGGTGCGTTCCGCCCTCACGCTCGAGCAGGTGCGTTCCGCCCTCACGCTCGAGCAGGTGCGTTCCGCCCTCACGCTCGAGCAGGTGCGTTCCGCCCTCACGCTCGAGCAGGTGCGTTCCGCCCTCACGCTCGAGCAGGTGCGTTCCGCCCTCACGCTCGAGCAGGTGCGTTCCGCCCTCACGCTCGAGCAGGTGCGTTCCGCCCTCACGCTCGAGCAGGTGCGTTCCGCCCTCACGCTCGAGCAGGTGCGTTCCGCCCTCACGCTCGAGCAGGTGCGTTCCGCCCTCACGCTCGAGCAGGTGCGTTCCGCCCTCACGCTCGAGCAGGTGCGTTCCGCCCTCACGCTCGAGCAGGTGCGTTCCGCCCTCACGCTCGAGCAGGTGCGTTCCGCCCTCACGCTCGAGCAGGTGCGTTCCGCCCTCACGCTCGAGCAGGTGCGTTCCGCCCTCACGCTCGAGCAGGTGCGTTCCGCCCCTCACGCTCGAGCAGGTGCGTTCCGCCCTCACGCTCGAGCAGGTGCGTTCCGCCCTCACGCTCGAGCAGGTGCGTTCCGCCCTCACGCTCGAGCAGGTGCGTTCCGCCCTCACGCTCGAGCAGGTGCGTTCCGCCCTCACGCTCGAGCAGGTGCGTTCCGCCCTCACGCTCGAGCAGGTGCGTTCCGCCCTCACGCTCGAGCAGGTGCGTTCCGCCCTCACGCTCGAGCAGGTGCGTTCCGCCCTCACGCTCGAGCAGGTGCGTTCCGCCCTCACGCTCGAGCAGGTGCGTTCCGCCCTCACGCTCGAGCAGGTGCGTTCCGCCCTCACGCTCGAGCAGGTGCGTTCCGCCCTCACGCTCGAGCAGGTGCGTTCCGCCCTCACGCTCGAGCAGGTGCGTTCCGCCCTCACGCTCGAGCAGGTGCGTTCCGCCCTCACGCTCGAGCAGGTGCGTTCCGCCCTCACGCTCGAGCAGGTGCGTTCCGCCCTCACGCTCGAGCAGGTGCGTTCCGCCCTCACGCTCGAGCAGGTGCGTTCCGCCCTCACGCTCGAGCAGGTGCGTTCCGCCCTCACGCTCGAGCAGGTGCGTTCCGCCCTCACGCTCGAGCAGGTGCGTTCCGCCCTCACGCTCGAGCAGGTGCGTTCCGCCCTCACGCTCGAGCAGGTGCGTTCCGCCCTCACGCTCGAGCAGGTGCGTTCCGCCCTCACGCTCGAGCAGGTGCGTTCCGCCCTCACGCTCGAGCAGGTGCGTTCCGCCCTCACGCTCGAGCAGGTGCGTTCCGCCCTCACGCTCGAGCAGGTGCGTTCCGCCCTCACGCTCGAGCAGGTGCGTTCCGCCCTCACGCTCGAGCAGGTGCGTTCCGCCCTCACGCTCGAGCAGGTGCGTTCCGCCCTCACGCTCGAGCAGGTGCGTTCCGCCCTCACGCTCGAGCAGGTGCGTTCCGCCCTCACGCTCGAGCAGGTGCGTTCCGCCCTCACGCTCGAGCAGGTGCGTTCCGCCCTCACGCTCGAGCAGGTGCGTTCCGCCCTCACGCTCGAGCAGGTGCGTTCCGCCCTCACGCTCGAGCAGGTGCGTTCCGCCCTCACGCTCGAGCAGGTGCGTTCCGCCCTCACGCTCGAGCAGGTGCGTTCCGCCCTCACGCTCGAGCAGGTGCGTTCCGCCCTCACGCTCGAGCAGGTGCGTTCCGCCCTCACGCTCGAGCAGGTGCGTTCCGCCCTCACGCTCGAGCAGGTGCGTTCCGCCCTCACGCTCGAGCAGGTGCGTTCCGCCCTCACGCTCGAGCAGGTGCGTTCCGCCCTCACGCTCGAGCAGGTGCGTTCCGCCCTCACGCTCGAGCAGGTGCGTTCCGCCCTCACGCTCGAGCAGGTGCGTTCCGCCCTCACGCTCGAGCAGGTGCGTTCCGCCCTCACGCTCGAGCAGGTGCGTTCCGCCCTCACGCTCGAGCAGGTGCGTTCCGCCCTCACGCTCGAGCAGGTGCGTTCCGCCCTCACGCTCGAGCAGGTGCGTTCCGCCCTCACGCTCGAGCAGGTGCGTTCCGCCCTCACGCTCGAGCAGGTGCGTTCCGCCCTCACGCTCGAGCAGGTGCGTTCCGCCCTCACGCTCGAGCAGGTGCGTTCCGCCCTCACGCTCGAGCAGGTGCGTTCCGCCCTCACGCTCGAGCAGGTGCGTTCCGCCCTCACGCTCGAGCAGGTGCGTTCCGCCCTCACGCTCGAGCAGGTGCGTTCCGCCCTCACGCTCGAGCAGGTGCGTTCCGCCCTCACGCTCGAGCAGGTGCGTTCCGCCCTCACGCTCGAGCAGGTGCGTTCCGCCCTCACGCTCGAGCAGGTGCGTTCCGCCCCGTTCCCCTCACGCTCGAGCAGGTGCGTTCCGCCCTCACGCTCGAGCAGGTGCGTTCCGCCCTCACGCTCGAGCAGGTGCGTTCCGCCCTCACGCTCGAGCAGGTGCGTTCCGCCCTCACGCTCGAGCAGGTGCGTTCCGCCCTCACGCTCGAGCAGGTGCGTTCCGCCCTCACGCTCGAGCAGGTGCGTTCCGCCCTCACGCTCGAGCAGGTGCGTTCCGCCCTCACGCTCGAGCAGGTGCGTTCCGCCCTCACGCTCGAGCAGGTGCGTTCCGCCCTCACGCTCGAGCAGGTGCGTTCCGCCCTCACGCTCGAGCAGGTGCGTTCCGCCCTCACGCTCGAGCAGGTGCGTTCCGCCCTCACGCTCGAGCAGGTGCGTTCCGCCCTCACGCTCGAGCAGGTGCGTTCCGCCCTCACGCTCGAGCAGGTGCGTTCCGCCCTCCGGAGCAGGTGCGTTCCGCCCTCACGCTCGAGCAGGTGCGTTCCGCCCTCACGCTCGAGCAGGTGCGTTCCGCCCTCACGCTCGAGCAGGTGCGTTCCGCCCTCACGCTCGAGCAGGTGCGTTCCGCCCTCACGCTCGAGCAGGTGCGTTCCGCCCTCACGCTCGAGCAGGTGCGTTCCGCCCTCACGCTCGAGCAGGTGCGTTCCGCCCTCACGCTCGAGCAGGTGCGTTCCGCCCTCACGCTCGAGCAGGTGCGTTCCGCCCTCACGCTCGAGCAGGTGCGTTCCGCCCTCACGCTCGAGCAGGTGCGTTCCGCCCTCCACGCTCGAGCAGGTGCGTTCCGCCCTCACGCTCGAGCAGGTGCGTTCCGCCCTCACGCTCGAGCAGGTGCGTTCCGCCCTCACGCTCGAGCAGGTGCGTTCCGCCCTCACGCTCGAGCAGGTGCGTTCCGCCCTCACGCTCGAGCAGGTGCGTTCCGCCCTCACGCTCGAGCAGGTGCGTTCCGCCCTCACGCTCGAGCAGGTGCGTTCCGCCCTCACGCTCGAGCAGGTGCGTTCCGCCCTCACGCTCGAGCAGGTGCGTTCCGCCCTCACGCTCGAGCAGGTGCGTTCCGCCCTCACGCTCGAGCAGGTGCGTTCCGCCCTCACGCTCGAGCAGGTGCGTTCCGCCCTCACGCTCGAGCAGGTGCGTTCCGCCCTCACGCTCGAGCAGGTGCGTTCCGCCCTCACGCTCGAGCAGGTGCGTTCCGCCCTCACGCTCGAGCAGGTGCGTTCCGCCCTCACGCTCGAGCAGGTGCGTTCCGCCCTCACGCTCGAGCAGGTGCGTTCCGCCCTCACGCTCGAGCAGGTGCGTTCCGCCCTCACGCTCGAGCAGGTGCGTTCCGCCCTCACGCTCGAGCAGGTGCGTTCCGCCCTCACGCTCGAGCAGGTGCGTTCCGCCCTCACGCTCGAGCAGGTGCGTTCCGCCCTCACGCTCGAGCAGGTGCGTTCCGCCCTCACGCTCGAGCAGGTGCGTTCCGCCCTCACGCTCGAGCAGGTGCGTTCCGCCCTCACGCTCGAGCAGGTGCGTTCCGCCCTCACGCTCGAGCAGGTGCGTTCCGCCCTCACGCTCGAGCAGGTGCGTTCCGCCCTCACGCTCGAGCAGGTGCGTTCCGTTCCGCCCTCACGCTCGAGCAGGTGCGTTCCGCCCTCACGCTCGAGCAGGTGCGTTCCGCCCTCACGCTCGAGCAGGTGCGTTCCGCCCTCACGCTCGAGCAGGTGCGTTCCGCCCTCACGCTCGAGCAGGTGCGTTCCGCCCTCACGCTCGAGCAGGTGCGTTCCGCCCTCACGCTCGAGCAGGTGCGTTCCGCCCTCACGCTCGAGCAGGTGCGTTCCGCCCTCACGCTCGAGCAGGTGCGTTCCGCCCTCACGCTCGAGCAGGTGCGTTCCGCCCTCACGCTCGAGCAGGTGCGTTCCGCCCTCACGCTCGAGCAGGTGCGTTCCGCCCTCACGCTCGAGCAGGTGCGTTCCGCCCTCACGCTCGAGCAGGTGCGTTCCGCCCTCACGCTCGAGCAGGTGCGTTCCGCCCTCACGCTCGAGCAGGTGCGTTCCGCCCTCACGCTCGAGCAGGTGCGTTCCGCCCTCACGCTCGAGCAGGTGCGTTCCGCCCTCACGCTCGAGCAGGTGCGTTCCGCCCTCACGCTCGAGCAGGTGTGTTCCGCCCTCACGCTCGAGCAGGTGCGTTCCGCCCTCACGCTCGAGCAGGTGCGTTCCGCCCTCACGCTCGAGCAGGTGCGTTCCGCCCTCACGCTCGAGCAGGTGCGTTCCGCCCTCACCCTCGAGCAGGTGCGTTCCGCCCTCACCCTCGAGCAGGTGCGTTCCGCCCTCACCCTCGGGCAGGTGCGTTCCGCCCTCACCCTCGAGCAGTTGCGTTCCGCCCTCACCCTCGAGCAGGTGCGTTCCGCCCTCACCCTCGAGCAGGTGCGTTCCGCCCTCACGCTCGAGCAGGTGCGTTCCGCCCTCACGCTCGAGCAGGTGCGTTCCGCCCTCCAGTCAACCGCGCTGCCCTCCTCTCCATGCACCACACATTCTCTGCCCTCCAGGACACGCACTGCCCACGCTCACTCTAGTCACATCCTCTCGAAACTCCGCACTCACATCCAGTCTGCATTCACGCTAGCCACGTTCTGTTGAAGTGCTTTTGTCCGGCACTCATGCTCCATGCGCCCATCTGTCCCGCTCATGCTCGTAGCTGCCCGTGCCACGGACCCCCATCCTGTGCCACGGACCCCCATGCTGTGCCACGGACCCCCATGCTGTGCCATGGACCCCCCTCCTGTGCCACGGACCCCCATGCTGTGGCTAATGGATGGCTGTGCGTCCTTGCATGCTTGCTGCTTGCCATGTGCCGGAATCGCTCTCTCCACTGCTCGCTCCCGTGACTGCAGGTGAAGAAGAACTTTCTTACACAAGTGCCTGACCAATGACACTGCCCCCTCAACAGCCCTGGTCCTGTTACCCGTTCGTTGTCTCACTGTTACCTGATGATGCTAACAGGCAAATGATACCGTACACTTGTAGCTTAGCCTGATATATGTTCCATTCAAGTCTACAAGGCAGCAGAGTAGCCTTCAACTTTTTAGAGTGGATCAAGAGCAGCAAGATCAATAAGAGACGGAATGCATATAGGTATGAAGTCATGTGCCCTTTGCTGGAAACAATCGATCTTAAGCGCCTCTGTCGTGTCGAAACACTAAGGCACAAACGAAGCGAAGCATATCGAAGCACCGGCGAGTCAACCCTCGGAGGTTGAAAGCAACTGTTGGAGGTTACGCGAAAGCCAAAGGTCAGCGACCTTTGACCTGACAGAGTACAGCGCGACAGCAAGGACACACAACTGACTCGCTACAGAGCAGTTGCCCGAGTCGTCACTGTATCGAACCGCAACAGCAACAGTAAAACAGTTATAACTGTAACCCTTCATATTCCTTGTACTCTTATATATAATCTTGTATCTCTCTGTTTTAATTAATATACTTTGCCCTCACATACTAGCGCAAGGTGGTTCAATTACTTCATTAAAGCTTCCGCTATTACATCAGTCCTACCCAGAGTTCACCCCTGCAAAGATCCTAAGGGCTATTTTCTCAGCCCAACATGGTATGAGAGCTATCAGGGGGAATTCAACTATCAAGACACCTACAACATCAACAGGCATGGCTACACAAAAGGAAAGGAGCTCCTCCAACGGCTCCCAGGGCACTACTCCTACTCCACCTCCTGCCTCTGGTCTACAGACAGAGGAGGGTACGGCAACAAGACCCAGGGCAACATCCACCGAAACTCCCGCAAACCAAGCCGCGGGCTTCGACCCAAGTATGATGGAGAAGTTCTTCTCCTTCATGTCTTTCTACGAGCAACACCAGCAATCGGCACCTGCGCAGTCACATAATAGCAACAACAACGGAGCAACTCCCATGAGTCTCGACGGCTCATCATACGCACGAGGAAATCAACAGCAGCAGCCTACCTTTGCTCCGTATGAGCGCGGGTCCATTAGCTTTATGCCACACCCGCAGCCTTCACCTGGACAAGAAAAGCCACTGGACGCATTACAAGTTTAGTCGCAGTTCGCGCACGTTCTGAAGATGCAGACGTCAAGACCTTTCGATGGAAAGGATTTCTTCACCTGGTCGTTTGAATTCGAGTTAATGATGGAAGGCGCGCAGATACTTGGCTTCTTCGACGGGTCCCTGCAATACCCAACAAACGGCACACCGTATGAGAAGCAGCAGTACACCTATCAGTCGATGATGGCGTACACGATTCTACTGAGAAACATCACCCCGACTCAACAGCAGAATATACGGTCTTACCGGGGTTACGGCAACTCCGCGGAGCTCGCATACAACCACTTGAAGAGCCTGTATCAAGCAACAGACAGCGTAAATCAAAGTCGGTTAATGGCGCAACTGACAACGGTCGAAATGAAAACCAGGCGAGAAAGGAATGGCGTATATCAGCCGATGTCGCGAGTTGCGCGACAAGCTTCTTCGATGCGGAGGGTCGATATCTGAAGACGCCTTCGTGACAGTTATCATTGGCGGCCTCGGTCCTCAATGGCGCGCCACAAAGGCCATTCTCCGAGCCCATGGAAGAATCTCCGAAGCAGCGCTCTGCGCCGAAATCCACGCCGAGCACAAAGACATGGACCTGCAAGAAGAACGACACAAGAAGAAGACATTAGCACCGGAATTTGCATTTCACACTCAGCGACGCTACAACAACAACAAACAACAACAACCGAAGCCCGTACCTCCGTTCTGCCACATCTGCAAGACGTCAGGGCACCCGCGCACGCACTGCCCGAATCGACAACAGTCAACGCCTTCACAGCGACAGCTTCGACCTTCAAGCAATCAAGTCGCCTCAACACAAGCAAATCCCACGACCCAGATTAAAGCCTCAACGACCTCAACAGGACAACCTGCACAAGGAGCAAGGAACATCGTCAGTTGCATGGCAAGACTGAGCAACTCTTGCATCACGGGATCACCACCGTACTACTCACCGGAAGAACAACTCGACGACACCACACCTCACCGCGATTCACTCCAGCCGAATCCGACATACGCAGCCATCGCCCAAAGCGAACCATCCGGAAAGGACACGTGGTTCTTGGACAGTTGCTGCGGACAACACATGTGTTCTTCAGGACGCTTCGTGCAACGAGAGAACCAACTCCAACGCGAAGTAGTCATCACCGTTGCCAACAACGAAAGCCTGCGCACACGACGACAAGGAATCGTTCAACTTCAGTCACGAGAGACAAATGTCATACTACAAATGTCCAAGGTCTTAATCGCAGAAGGCCTCGGCTACAACTTACTCAGCGTTAGCCAACTGATGGCTAAAGGTATCCACCTTGAAGCAGACAGCACCACTCAGGAGTTCAAGCTGTACCACGGGAAGGGCGGTCTCTACATCGGAAAGGCGATCCTGAAAAATAACGTCTTCGTTCTTGATTTTGTTCCAGATCTCGGCACAGCAGACAGCGGCGGCATCGTCACCTTCACTTCCTGGACCCACCCTCTAGACCTTGATCCAGACTTCAGCCCCGGCGGCTTCTGGTATTCACACACCATCCCTGAGGCAGAAAGAACAAGGGCGTTAGCAACAATTCAAACAACATCGGCAGCAGCAGAGACAACAGCAGAGACAACATCGGCAGCAACAGAGACAACATCGGCAGCAGCAGAGACAACATCGGCAGCAGCAGAGACAACATCGGCAGCAGCAGAGACAACATCGGCAGCAGCAGAAACAACATCGGCAGCAGCAGGAACGTCAACGCCAGTCGCTGGTCCTTCAACGGCACCACTCCTCGTAAACGACACACCACCGACACCCGCGCAACAACTACACCCAGCACCACGAGAAGTTCATCGAAGCACCAACTTCACCGCCAGCTTCTATTCCAACTCTGATATGTATCGGCGCTCACCCGGACATCGCGCCACCGAAGGAACCTGGCACGCAAGAATGGGACATCCAAGCAACACGGTGTTAAACAACACGATAAGAGCAGGTGTGCTCGATAAAGACTCTCTACTCCTAACTGACGGCAGAGAACTTCAGCGAGCTCGAGGAACATGCTTCACCTGTCCCGAAGCTGACTTACCACATCAACCGTTCGCGTCTCACCACAATGTCAAACATTGTATGTTTACATTGTGTAGGCTATAGTGGGTTTAGCCTTAGGGGGTACACAAACTTAGGGTTTCCTACTTGTACCCAACTTTGTGCTAGTTCATTCATTCCTGTTTCGTTCTTTCTTACATGGTTTCAGAGCAGGTCCTCCGCTAGGACCGATTTTTTAGGGCCCACCACTGCTGACTGCCTACTAGCGCCCTCGTGCGCCCTACTGTCGGAGCGCCCTCGAGCGTCTCCCCTAGTGCCCTCGTGCGCCCCTCTTTAACGGCCCCGTAAGGCCCCGCGACCCGCGACCCGCCCCTTAGCGACCCGCGCGCCGCCCCTTAGAGGCCCCTCTCACGGCCGCGTCGACCCCGCGCGCAGCCCCTTAGAGGCCCCGTCGGCCCCGTCGACCCCGCGCGCGCCCCACCTAGCGGCCCCGTCGGCCCCGTCGACCCTGTGCGCGCCCCCCTTAGCGGCCCCGTCGGCCCCGTCGACCCCACTCGCCGCCCCTTAGCGGCCCACCACACGGCCCCCGTCGACCCCCGCGCGCAGCCCCTTAGAGGCCCCGTCGGCCCCGTCGACCTCGCGCGCGCCCCACCTAGCGGCCCCGTTGGCCCCGTCGACCCCGTGCGCGCCCCCATTAGCGGCCCCGTCGGCCCCGTCGACCCCACGCGCCGCCCCTTAGCGCCACGCACAGCAGCCCCAGCAGCCCCGCACGCGACAGCCACGGCCCCGCCAGAACCGAGCCGCCCGAACCGAGCCGCCCGAACCGAGCCGCCCAGCCCGAGCCGAGCCGCGCCGCCCTCCCCGTACTGAGCAGCCCTCTCTGGACCGAGCCGCCCTACCTGAGTCGCGCTGCCTGCTGCTTTTAGGGTTTCGCCTGCTGTTACTACTGCTACTGTTCCTGCTGTTACTACTGCTCTTACTGCAACTATGGCTAGCCCTGCTGTACTCGCTTTCGATGCTGAGGGCCGCCCACTGAAGTTTGACACCTGGCTAGATGACTTGCACCTGTTCCTCCAGCTCACTGCCAAGGAGGACATCTCGCTGTACGATCACGCGCTAGGCAATGCTGCTGCCCCTGCTGTTACTGCTGACAGTACTGCTCGCTCCCAGTGGCAGACTCGTGACGCCCACGCTTGCTTTGCTATTCGCAACTCCCTGCCGGTAGATGAGCGCGAGCACTTTGGCCAGCACAAAACTGCGCAGGCACTGTACACTGCTGTAGTTGCACGCTACTCCTCACCTGCCTCTGCTGCGCTAGGCCGTCTCTCGCTCCCCTACCTGTTCCCAGACCTGTCCGCTTTCGCCACAGTAGCTGACCTCACCACGCACCTCCGCACTAGTGAGGCTCGCTTCCGTGCCGCTATGCCCGCTGAGTTTCTTGCCACCCACCCCCCCCCGCTCTGGCTCACTCTCTACCACCTTGTCACCCGTCTCCCTGACTCTCTTCGTGCGGTCAGGGACCACTTCCTCGCTCGCTGCCCCACTGAGCTCACCGTTGACCTGCTCGAGAAGGAACTGCTTGCAGCTGAGACTAGCATAGTCGCTGTAGCTGCCTCTCGTGGCGACCCCCGCACCCCGTTCTTCGAGGGGTGTTCCCCTTCCCCCCTTCTCCCCTCTGTCGCCTCTGCTGCTGCTGTCGACCTAGTTGGTACTGAGCAGGTCGGGACTGCGTCTGCTCCGAGCTGGCGCCGCAGCGGCAAGGGCAAAGGGGGCAAGGGAGGTGGAGGTGACGGCGGGGGAGGTGGTGGTGGGGGCGGTGGCGGCGGTGGGGGTGGTGGCGGGGCTGGAGGAGCTAGTGGCAGCGGTGGGGGTGGAGGCGGCAGCAGCGGAGGAGGTGGCCGGGGTGGGGGCGGTGGTTGGGGAGGCGGTGGACGCGGAGGCGGCAGGGGCGGTGGTGGTCGAGGTGGTGGCGGCGGCGGTGGTGGTCGTGGACGCACTGGCGGTGGCCAGAGCCAGCAGCACACTCCGTCGTCCCAGGAGCTTCGTGAGTGGTACTCTCAGCACGGGGGGGGGGGGGGGTGGCCTTAGCTGCACGTACGTCATCCGCACTGGTGACCGCACTGGCCAGACGTGTGGGAGGGCGCACACCGCGCAGCGCTGCTTCTCCCGCCTCGACGACGCTTGGCGCACTCAGTTCCCTGCTGCCACTGAGCTGCCCCGCTGGTTTGATCTGATCAAGAAGAACATTGATGTCTATGCTCTTGACTTTGATGCTATTCTCACTGCCATGTATGTGTTGTCTACTAGTGGAGAGGGTGCTCAGTACCTGCGTGTTCCGCCCGACCCGAGCATTCGGACCAGTGAGGCTGCCGCTCTAGGTGCTTGCGTGTCTGCTGCCCCAGGTGCTGGTGAGGCTGCTGCTCTAGGTGCTTGCGTGTCTGCTGCCCCAGGTGCTGGTGAGGCTGCTGCTCCAGGTGCTAGTGAGTATGCGCCCCCTGGTACTGAGTCCACTGAGGCACTGCACTCCTTCACACTAGACTCAGGAGCTTCTCGCTGTTTCTTTCGTGACCGCACTGCCCTTGAGCAGCTTGCTCGGCCAGTTGCTGTCTCCCTTGCTGACCCCTCTGGGGGTCCGGTCATTGCGACCTCCTCCACTATCCTTCCTTGTCCTGCGGTTCCGTCAGGCACACTGTCAGGTCTCCACCTCCCCTCGTTCTCTACGAACTTGGTGGCAGGCTGTGCGCTCCAGGACGGGGGTGTCCACCAGTTCACCCCTGCCTACGAGCGCGTGACACACTGCACGTGTGCTCGGACGGGCCGTCACCTGGCTACCTTCACTAGGCAGCTGGGGTCGGACTTGTACACACTGACCACTGAGTACCCTCAGGTAGCTGCGTCTGCGTCTGCGTCAGGTCAGCTGTCTGCCCCCTGCTCGTGTCGCTCTCTGGCGCACGAGACTGTCCTCTGGCACCACCGCCTTGGTCACCCGTCAGTGCAGCGCCTTCGTGCCATGCACAAACGGTACCTTGTCTCTGGTCTTCCCCGGGTACTCCCTCCCCTCCCACCCTCGCCTGCTCCTCCCTGTCTTCCTTGTGTCGAGGGGCGGCAGCGCGCCGCTCCTCACTCCTCCTCGTTTCCCCCGACGACTGCTCCCTTGCAGACGCTCCACATGGACGTGTGGGGCCCAGCCCGCGTCCGTGGACAGGGTCAGGAAAGGTACTTCCTGATCGTTGTTGACGACTACTCGCGCTACACCACGGTCTTCCCCTTGCGCACCAAGGGTGAGGTCCCTGATGTTTTGATCCCTTGGATCCGCGCTTCTCGTCTCCAGCTCAGCGAGCGGTTCCGCTCGGACTTTCCGGTCCTGCGTCTGCACTCAGACAGAGGTGGGGAGTTCTCCTCCGACCTCTTGGCAGCCTACTGTGCGGAGCACGGCATCCGCCAGTCGTTCACGCTTCCGGCCTCTCCACAGCATAATGGGGTTGCTGAGCGCCGCATTGGCTTGGTCATGGAGGTCGCTTGTACCTCCTTGATCCATGCGGCTGCCCCCCACTTTCTGTGGCCGTTTGCGGTCCGGTACGCTGCGCATCAGCTCAACCTCTGGCCCCGTGTCTCCTTGCCGGAGACCTCGCCCACACTGCTGTGGACGGGGGAGGTTGGCGATGCGTCGCGTTTCCGGGTCTGGGGATCTCGAGCTTTTGTCCGCGATACGTCCGCGGACAAGCTCTCCTCCCGCGCTGTTCCTTGTGTCTTCCTTGGCTTTGTCCTCGACGCGGCTGGTTGGCAGTTTTACAGCGCCACCTCGCGCCGTGTCCTGCCCTCTCAGGACGTCACTTTTGACGAGTCGGTGCCCTACTACCGCCTCTTCCCCTACCGCACTGCCCCGTTCCCCCCCCCGCCTCTCTTCCTTGCGCCAGGTGCCGCTGTGGTAGACCCCCTCCCCCCTCAGGGTGCCGCTCCCTCAGGTGTGTCCCAGGTAGACCCGGTTGAGCCTGTCGAGGTAGCTGTCGACTCTCGTCCTACTAGGGGTGCTGAGCCTGAGCGTGCGGAGCCTGGGGTGCGGAGCCTGGGGGTGCGGAGCCTGAGGGTGCGGAGCCTGGGGTTGCGGAGTCTGGGGGTGCTGAGCCTGGGGGTGCTGAGCCTGGGGGTGCTGAGTCTGGGGGTGCTGAGCCTGGGAGTGCTACACCTGGAGGAGCTCTCTCCTCAGAGCAGCTGCGTGAGTGGTACTTACAGTACTGCAGCCTCAGGAGAGGTGCTTCTGGAGCTAGGAGCGCTGCTGGAGCTGGTGCTAGTGCTTCCCCTCCTAGGCGGGCACTGCCCTCTCCCCAGCAGCTCCGAGAGTGGTACGCTCGGCACTGCAGTCTCCGGAGTGGCGCTCCTTGCGTCGCGGACCCTGGTGCTGGAGCTGCTGGCGGTGCTGCTGGTACTGGTGCTACTGGAGCTGCTGGAGGTGCTGCTGCTGCTGGCGGTGCTGCTGGCGCTGCTGGAGGTGCTGCTGGTGCTGGTGCTGCTGGAGGTGCTGGTGCTGCTGACGCTGCTGGAGGTGCTGCTGGTGCTGGAGCTACTGGAGTTGCTAGAGGTGCTGCTGCTGCTAGCGGTGCTGCTGGCGCTGCTGGAGGTGCTGCTGGTGCTGGTGCTGCTGGAGGTGCTGGTGCTGCTGACGCTGCTGGAGGTGCTGCTGGTACTGGAGCTACTGGAGCTGCTGGAGGTGCTACTGCTGCTTGCGGTGCTGCTGGCACTACTGGAGGTGCTCGTACTGGAGGTTCTGGAGCTGCTGGGACTGAGCCTGCTGAGGGGGTTGGAGCTGGAGGTGCTGAGCAGCCGCGGCCGTACTACGTTCCGCTCCTTCAGCAGGTTCTTGGTCTCTCGCCCTCTACTGGTCCTCCTCCTCCCCTACTGAGTTCACCGTCTGTCCAGTCGCAGTCACAGTTACAGTCTGCCTCTCCGCTGCCTGCTCCTTCTCCTTACACTTGCGCCGACGAGTAGTCTTACGGAGCGTCGTGAGCCTGAGTCTCGTCCTCCGTCGCCTGAGTCTAGTCCTGCGTCTTCTGAGTCTCGTCCAGAGTCGCCTGTCCGCACTGCCCACACTGGTCGTCGTGCTCCACGTCAGCGTCCTCCTCCTGTCCTTGGCACTCACTATATGACCCTGCGTCCTTCCACTGCTCCACAGCGCGTCCCTCTGCCGTCTCCTCCTGCGTCCTCTCTTCCTGACGTTGCCGACCCGCCGTCAGACCTTACTCGTGCTGCCAGTCCTACTGTCGCGCGTCTCCTTGCCACCGTTGTCACTGACCCTACCTTTGAGTCCTCTGCTGCGTCAGCTCTAGTCGCTGAGCTTGTTGACTTTGCTGCTGCCTGTCGTCTAGACTACGCCGCTAGCATTGTTGCTGAGTCTGAGTCTGTCTGTCCTCCGTCTGTCGGGGGTGAGTGTGCTCTTGGCACGGACGTCCTTGAGGACAGACAGGAGGAGTTTGAGTGCTTTGCTGCTGCTTTACCTCATCTCGTATCCATGCTGATTGCCCCTGAGGGAGACCCGGATGCACCAGACATCCCGACCCCACGCTCCTACGCAGAGGCGATGGAGGGTCTCTACTCCTCTCAGTGGCAGACAGCCATGGACGCAGAGATGGCTTCCTCGAAGTCAACAGGCACCTACGTCGACGAGGTTCCCCCACCTGGGGCGAACATCGTCAGTGGCATGTGGATTTTCAGGGTGAAGCGGCCGCCGGGTTCTCCGCCTGTCTTCAAGGCGCGTTACGTTGCACGAGGCTTCAGTCAGCGAGAGGGAGTTGACTTCTTCCAGACCCTCTCCCCGACCCCGAAGATGACCAATCTTCGGGTTCTGCTGCACGTCGCTGCTCAGCGTGACTACGAGCTCCACTGCCTTGACTTCAGCACTGCGTTCCTACAGGGCACCCTGCACGAGGAGATCTGGCTGCGCCGCCCACCTGGCTTCACTGGGTCGTTCCCTCCTGGTACCCAGTGGAGCCTCCGGCGGCCAGTCTACGGTCTCCGCCAGGCGCCCCGTGAGTGGCACGACACACTGAGGACTACTCTTGCTGCTCTTGGGTTTGCTCCTTCTACTGCTGACCCGTCGCTGTTTCTACGCACCGACACCACTCTGCCGCCGTTCTACGTTCTCGTGTACGTAGACGACTTGGTCTTTGCTACTGCTGACACTGAGGCACTCGCCCACGTGAAGTCGGAGCTGCAGAAGAGACACACGTGCACAGACCTGGGTGAGCTGACAAGCTATCTTGGCTTGCGGATCACCCGGGACAGAGCACAGCGCACCATCACCTTGACTCAGTCACACATGGTGCAGCAGGTCCTTCAGCGCTTCCGCTTCACGTACACCTCGCCTCAGCCCACTCCTCTGCCTACCGGTCACTCGCTCTCAGCTCTGCCTTCGGATGAGTCCGTAGAGCCGAGTGGCCCGTATCCAGAGCTTGTGGGCTGCCTCATGTACCTGATGACCTGCACTCGACCTGACCTAGCCTACCCTCTTAGCATCCTAGCACGCTATGTCGCTCCTGGCCGTCACCGGAAGGAGCACATGGATGCAGCTAAGAGGGTGTTGCGCTACTTGTGCAGTACGTCGGGCATGGGGCTTGTGCTTGGAGGACGGCACGACGTTGTCCTCACTGGACACTCAGACGCTTCTTGGGCTGACGACCAGGCTACTCAGCGGTCGTCTCAGGGTTGCACCTTCAGCCTTGGCTCTGGCTCAGTTTCTTGGCGTTCTACACGCTCCTCCTCTGTTCTCAGCTCCAGTTGTGAGGCTGAGATCTACGCCACAGCCATGGTTGCCCAGGAGCTTCGCTGGCTCACCTTCCTGCTGACCGACCCTGGGAGAGCGGCCTCGTTCTCCTCCAGTGCTGTACGTCGACAACAAGGCCGCCCTTGCCTTGTGTCAGGAGCACAAACTGGAGCACAGAACGAAGCACATCGCTCTGCGCTACTTCCTTGCTCGAGAGCTGCAGCAGCGTGGTCAGCTTCGTCTTTCGTACGTGGCCACTCAGGCCAACACTGCTGATGTGTTCACCAAGGCGCTTCAGCCTTGTGATCATCAGCGTTTCTGTACTGTTCTAGGCCTTGTGCCTACTGTCCCTCACTTGCTCACTTCGTGACTTTGCTTGTACTGTGATCTCTATATATATACCTGCATGCTTACACTTGCTAGGTTGTGATCACTGTACCTCTTGTTTATTATCAAACTGCATGTGAACTGGTCTTGTGACCGCTTGTTTGTGCTCGGAATTTGTGTGGTATCCTTGAGATCCACCCTGAGCTTTGCTTTGCTTTGCTTTGCTTTGACTGGTGTTGTGACCCTCTGGTTGTCTCCCACTTCGCCTATGGGGGTGTGTCAAACATTGTATGTTTACATTGTGTAGGCTATAGTGGGTTTAGCCTTAGGGGGTACACAAACTTAGGGTTTCCTACTTGTACCCAACTTTGTGCTAGTTCATTCATTCCTGTTTCGTTCTTTCTCACACACAACCCAAGCGCACCAGCTTACGCGCCACTCGAGAAGGTGTACAGCGACATCTTGTACAACCGCGAGCCTGGACAAAACGCATACAACTACACCATCACCTTCATCGACGCCGCCACACGATAGGTCTGGCATCTAAACCTTTCGAGCAAAGACATGGCCTTCGAAGCCTTCGTCGCGTGGCTCCCAGTAGCAGAGCGAGAATCGGGCGTCAAACTGAAGAGCTTCCAGTCCGACGGGGAGGAGAGTACACCTCACAAAGGTTCAAGCAGTACTTGGCTGAAAGAGGAATCAAGCGGCTCATCTCCCTTCCCTACGCCCATCAACAGCAAGGAGTAGCAGAGAGGATGAACAGGACCCTCCAGAACACCATGCGCAAGCTGCTACGTGGCATGCACCTGCCCAACCACCAGTGGCCCGAAGCAATGGACAACGCCGTCATGCTGCACAACTCGTCATCATCGCTCCCGAACAACGCATCACCGCACCTGCTGTGGACAGGAAAGCAGGGCAGCACAAAAATGTTAAGAGTCTTCGGCTGCATGGTACAGTACCGGCCCCCATCTGCACGAGCCGGCCGATTCTCTCAACGCGCACAGTGGGGGCTACACCTGGGAATTGAAAAGCATTACAACGCATGGAAATTTTTCGACGTCGAGACAAAAGAGACAGTGGCAGCACGTGACGTCATTTTCTACGAAAACCTCACCCTCCGGTATTACCTTGCCAACTTGCAAGAAGAAAACCCCGATCGCTCCGCTGGTTTTCAAGGCACCCGAACCTTCGCCTCGGCAGACGACGAAGCTGACTGGGACGAGCAGAACGTGGAAGGAGCCTCGGAAGAAGCCGGACCCCTCCCCTACTGCTCCGTCGACGTGCCAATGGACGACGAAAACCCACGCGAAAGCATCAACGCCGAAGCCTATTACCATTTCGCTGACAACGGTTACGTTACACCTGCACAAGTCAACACCGACGGAGCAGAACGCGTAGGACCTAATTTCGCACCTGATCCAGAAGCGGGGAGACGAAGCAGTTTATCTTGAGGACACTTCACTCCCCCGCTACACACAGAGTGGACTCCAAAATCCTTGGTCTCGTCACCGCAGTACAACGGCGCAGCCATTCCTAAAGAGCCTGCGACAGTTCAACAGGCTCTGGGGGGGGAACATAAGGAAAAATGGCGGCGAAGCCATGGACAGGGAGCTAAAGGCGCTAGAGGAACGCAACACCTGGAAGGTCGTCCCTATCGGCGTAGCACGTAACAAAACAGTACTCACCGGGAAATGGGTCTTCCATGTGAAGACAAAGGCTGACGGCACCATCGACAAGTTTAAAGCTCGCTGGGTCGTACGCGGCTTCGACCAAGAACACGGACACGACTTCACCGAAACATTCGCTCCGGTCAGTCGACACACTTCACTCCGAATCCTCCTCGCGATCGCCGCCATGAAGAAGAAGAAGCTGCGACAAATCGACGTCGCGAACGCATTCCTCTACGGCACCTGTTGACGCAGAAATCTTCGTCGAATTACCGCACAGGCTCCAACGATGAGCCCAATCAAGTCTGTCAGCTGCTGAAGTCGCTCTAACGGCATCAAGCAAGCTCCGCGGCTATGGCAACAATACCTGCACGCTCGCCTCATTCGCATCGGCTTCAAACAACTACCGCATGATCAGGGCATGTACCCGGCTCACGAAGAACACCGACTACATCCTGTTAATCGTCTACGTAGACGATCTACTCTACATCGGCTCGACCGACGGCATCACAACCTGGTTCGAAGGGGAGCTACAGAAGGACCTCACGCTCACGGTCTCATCTACCGTCACACAGTACCATCGGTCTCAACATCCGAGAAGAGGAAGACGTGATCCACCTCAGTGCCGCGAAATACGCAGACACCATCGCCAAGTCGCTTCGCACTCACACCGACCGCCATCTCCACACCGTACCGCTACACGACAGGAAGCAGCAAGGGAAGCTCCGCTCTACTTAAGCCCGCCGGCATACGCGACTACCAGAGGAAACTGGGATGCCTCCTTTTCGCAGCTGTCACCTGCCGCCCGGACCTATCGTATTCATGCAAGTCAGCTCGCCACCTACCTCAAGAGGCCTGAAGCAGAACATCTAGCAGAACTCGACCCGCGCTCTTCAACTACCTCGTCAGCACCCCGACGATCGGCCTAACTTACTACAAGAAACGCAACTACAACCGCCTAAGTTAATCGGCTACGTCGACGCCGATCACGCTGGCGACTCCGACAACAGGCGCTCCCGCACCGGTTACATCTACCGCCTCGAACCTATCGGACCTATCTCATGGCAGTCGAGCAAGCATGAATTAATCGCCCCTCTCGTCAGCTGAAGCAGAAATATATTGCACTTTGTTCAGCCACCAAGGAAGGACTTTACCTTCGCGAACTGCGGAAGAAGTGAAACTGGCTCAGTTACCCAGCTTCACTCTGTTCTGCGACAACCAGTCGGCAATTCGCATCGCCAACAAGAACGGCTTCGCGAACAGGACGAAACACATCGGCCCTGTGATATTTCTTCGTGAAGGACGAGATCGAGAAGGAAGGCTCGAGCTGTCATACTGCCCCACGTCCGAGATGGCAGCTGACTACTGACCAAGAGCTCGGAAAGCAGAAGTTCGAGTACTGCTGCTGCTGACTGGACAGAGCCACGTCACCAGCAGCGACACTCCAGAAGCGAAGGGGGAGTGTTGGAAACAATCGATCTTAAGCGCCTCTGTCGTGTCGAAACACTAGGCCACAACGAAGGCGAAGCATATCGAAGCACCGGCGAGTCACCCTCGGAGGTTGAAAGCAACTGTTGGAGGTTACGCGAAAGCCAAAGGTCAGCGAACCCTTTGACCTGACAGAGTACCAGCAGCGACAGCAAGGACACACAACTGACTCGCTACAGAGCAGGTGCCCGAGTCGTCCACTGTATCGAACCGCAACGAGCACAGTAAAACAGTTATAACGTAACCCTTCATATCCTTGTACTCTTATATATAATCTTGTATCTCTCTGTTTTAATTAATCTACTTTGCCCTCACATACTAGCGCAAGGTGGTTCAATTACTTCATTAAAGCTTCGCTATTACATCAGTCCTACCCAGAGTTCACCCCTGCAAAGATCCTAAGGGCTATTTTCTCAGCCCAACACCCTTGACCCAGTTGACCCCAGTTCTCGCCCGGGTTCAAGGCCGTTAGGAAAACCTGGTAGAATGGTCCAATCCAAGCCAAGATAAGATTAGATCGGAAGCTAAAAAAGTCTTAGAACATGACTACGAACGAACATGCAGGAATTATGAGCTACCGGTAATTTGAGCATGATGAATTATGCAAGGATCGCGCGATAATCAGCAGGTGTTTCCACTGAGAGAGATCCACAACCTTGAGTTGCTTGTGATATGGTCCACCAGCAGGCCCTCAGATTGAATTCAGGGTGCGCTGATCAATCAGTTGCTGCCCCCCTCCAAAAAAAAAATTGAATTGATGGATCAGTGATGGCTTGAGTTTGTTAAAGCCCGAGTCCCGAATTGCGAGGCGCGTGGGTCATGCTTTTAAAACTTGACCGAAGTGCAGTGTGCAAGCTTTGAAAAGTAGCGCACCTGCAATTTGGGACTTTGGGGTGCTGACACAACCCCCAGGCGAAATACGTGGGCTAGCTGGGTTTGGCGAAAAAAACGAAAGGCCCGAAATCGGAATCACTCGCCAAAACCTAAACCAGGAAAAACCCCTCGCGTCATCCTTTTAAATCTTGTGCAATTTGGGCTTCCGGCTTTAACCTGATTTCTCAGTGCTGCGTATATAGAAAATCTGATTGCGTCAGTACGAACTTAGAAGTAGCTTAGTGGGTCAAGTATCACCAAGCATGAGGTTCAAGCATAAGGTTGGAGTACGAGGTTCACCGTATCACCATCGGAGCTTGGTTCTGTTGTGCAGTTGGAAGGATTCCCACTTGCTTCCAGGACGTCGCCCCGACATCAGCTGCCGCGACATCAGCTCGGGGGCAACGTGGGCGCTAGATGTTTCTGTTGCAGACCCCCAGCACGGCCCCCCAAACTCCAAACAACATATGTCATCGGTTCAGCTGCATCTGCTCGTGAAACTGAGAAGGGGATGTCAAAGTTATATCATAGTTCTTACTTAGCCTATAGTGAGATGCATCTTAGGGGGTACAACTTTTCTCTCGTCATTCTACTTGTACCCCCCCTTGACCTAGTCGACCATCATTCCTCTCCTCTTAGTTCAACATGGTATTAAGAGCGTTATGGTCTTAGGACCGGATTTTTAAAAGGGCCCACCATTCAATTTTCGAATCTGCTGCCCGAGTCGCGCCCCTAGGCGCGTCCCGTTTTTTATCCTACCCAAAACGCGCCCTAGGCGAGACGATTTTTCTGCCCTAGGCCACGTCCCGTCCCCTAGGCGAGACGATTTTTGTTTTTCCTGCCTAGTCACGCGCGCGCCCCTCTGCCCAGCCCACGCGACGCCCTGTACTGCAGCCCGCACGCTGCGCCCGCTGCTTGCGCGCTGCCCCTGCTGCTCCGCGCGCTGGCATTTGCTGCCCGCGCGCTGCTTGCCACCTGCCCGCGAACTGCTAGCGCGCTGCTGCAACCAGAAGTTGCTGCTGCGCCTGAGCTGCTCTTGCCGCCGCCTGCACTGCTGCTGCCACTGTGCTGCTGCGGCTGCACTGCTGCCTGCCGCCCTCAACTGCTGCTGCCTGCTGCTGCTAAGCACTTGCTGCTGCTGCTGCTGCTACCTGCTGCTGCCGCCAGATCTGCTGCTGCCCGCCTGCACTGCTGCTGCCACTGTGCTGCTGCTGCTGCTGCACTGCTGCTAGCCGCTCAACTGCTGCTGCTGACTGCTGCTAAGCACTGCTGCCTACTGCTGCTGCTACCTGCTGCTGCCGCCAGATCTGCTGCTGCTCGGCCTGCACTGCTGCTGCCATTGTGCTGCTGCTGCTAAGCACTGCTCCTGCTGCCGAGCCGCCCTGCCCAACACGAGCCGCCCTGCTGCTACTACTGCTGGCTGCAGCGTGGCTCGTTCTACTGCTGCTGCTGGTGGAGTGCTGATGGGAGTGCTTGAGGTGCCGTCGCCCAGCCCCACCGAGCCGCCCTGCTGCTACTACTGCTGCTGCTGCTCGTGCTACTGCTGCTGCTGGTGGAGGTGCTGCTGGTGCTGGAGGTGCTGGAGGTGCGGCTGGGAGTACTAGGGGTGCTGCTGGTGCTGGAGGTGCTGGACCTACTACTAACCGTCACTGCCTGTCATGGCCACTATCGCGGCAGTTGCAGCGGCTAGGGGTGGACAGCAGCGGGTACTGCCTCTACCGGACGACCCCACCCCTTAGCAGCTTCGTGAGTGGGTTGTTCAGCGAGGCCGTCCTGGTGGTGGAGGTTTTGATTTTATGTGGCCTCAGCGACCTCGCGACTGTGCTTCTCAGCGATGCGTCCCTGGTCGTGTAGAGGTTGCTGCTCCAGGTGCTGGTGAGTCTGCTGCAGCTCTAGTTGCCCGTGAGTCTGCCGACGCTCTAGGTGCTAGTGCGTCTACTGCCACAGGTCCTGCCTCAGCTCAGGCCTTGCAAACTTTCACGCTTGACTCAGGCGCGTCACGTTGCTTCTTTCGTGATTGCACCACAGTCACACCACTCGCAACACCTGTCCCAGTCTCACTGGCTGACCCCTTTGGGGGCCTAGTAGTTGCGCGAGCCTCTACTGTCCTCCCGTGTCCAGCAGTCCCCTCCGGGTGCTGAGACAGAGGGTGAGGGTTCTGGGGGTGCCGAGCTTGGGGGTGCTGGTTCTGGGGGTGCTGCGACTGGGGTGCTGACTCTGGGGGTGCAGCGAGTCCTAGTGGCGGTGGAGTTGTGGGTGACCCTGTTGGAGGTCCTGGAGCTGGAGGTACTAGAGGTGCTGCTGGTGCTGGAGGTGCTAGAGCTACCACTACTGGAGGTGCAGGAGTTGGACAGCCACCGCAGCCTGATCTACTTGAGACGCTCTCGCCGCAGGCGATTCGTGCGTGGATCGTTCGGCGAGGCAGTCCTGGTGGTGGGGGGTACGGTCCTGCTGGTGCTGGAGCTACTAGTCCTGGAGGTACTGCTGGTGCTGGAGGTGCTGGAGGTACTGCTGGAGGTACTGGAGCTGCTAGGCCTGGAGGTACTGGAGGTGCTACTGGTGCTGGAGGTGCTGGAGGTGCTGCTGGTGCTGGAGGTACTGGAGGTACTGCTGGAGGTACTAGAGGTGCTGCTGGTGCTGGAGGTACTGGAGCTACTAGGCCTGGAGGTACTGGAGGTGCTGCTGGTGCTGGAGGTGCTGGAGCTGCTAATGCTGGAGGTACTGCTGGTACTGGAGGTGCTTGGGGTACTGGAGCTGCTGGCACTGGAGGCGCTGGTGCTACTGGTGCTGGAGCTGCGGGAGCTGTTGGTCCTGGAGGTGCTCGTACTAGAGGTACTGGAGCTGCCGGGGCTGGAGGTGCTGCTGGTGCAGGAGGACGTGGAGCTACTGGTACTGCTGGTGCTGGAGGACGTGGAGCTACTGGAGCTGCTGGTGCTGGAGGTGCTGGTCCTGCTGCTGGTGCTGGAGGTACTGGAGGTGCTGCTGGTGCTGGAGGTGCTCCTGGTACTGGAGGTACCAGAGGTATTGCTGGAGGTACTAGAGGTGCTGCTGGTGCTGGAGGTACTGGAGCTGCTAGGCCTGGAGGTACTGGAGGTACTGCTGGTGTCGGAGTTACTGGAGGTGCTGCTGCTACTGGTGCTGGAGGTGCTGCTGGGAGTACTGGAGGAGCTGCTCGTGCTGGAGGTACGGGAGCTGCTGGTGCTCTTCGCCACCTTCTCAGTCTTCCGCCAGGTACTACTGACTTCCTTGTGGCAGGTACTACTCCTCCGTTACTGTTTCCACCGACAGACCAGTCACAGCCGCAGCTGCTACCGCACCCCCCACTGCCTGCTCTTGCTCCTTACACTTCGGTGACGCAGTCTCTGACTGAGCGTCGAAAGCCTGAGACTCGTGCTTCCACCCCTGAGCGTCGAGAGCCTGAGTCCAGCTTTGACCTTGAGCCCGAGCCTAGAGCTGCTGTCCGTGCTCGTGTTCCTCGAGTTCGTCGTCAGCGTGCTCCGGCTGTCCCAGGCACTCACAATATGACACTCCGTCCTTCCTCTGTTCCACAGCGTGTTGTCCTGCCGTTACCTCCTGCGTCCTCTCTTCCTGACGTTGCTGACCCTCCGTCTGACCTTGCTCATGCGTCCAGTCCGACTGTTACCCGCTTTCTTGCTACGGTGGTGACTGGCCCTTCGTTCTCGTCTCCTGCTGCGTCTGCCTTGGTCGCTGAGCTCGTTGACTTTGCTGCTGTGTACCGCCTAGACTACCTTGCGAGTCTTGTTTCTGACCCTGTCCCTGCTGTCCTCCATCCGTCCGGGTGAGACTGCCCTTGGCTGTTCTGCCCTTGGCTGTGACGTTCTTGAGGACAGCAGGAGGAGCTGGAGTGCCTTGCGGCCGCTGTACCTCATCTCGCTACCATGCTGCTTGCCCCTGAGGGAGACCCGGATGCACTTGACATCCCCACCCCGCGCTCTTACAGAGAGGTGATTTCGGTTGAGTACTCCTCTCAGTGGCAGACAGCCATGGACACAGAGATGGCTTCCTGGAAGTCCACAGGCACCTACGTCGACGCGGTTCCCCCACCTGGGGCGAACATCGTCAGTGACATGTGGATTTTCAGGGTGAAGCGGCCGGGGTTCTCCGCCTGCCTTCAAGGCATGTTTCGTTGCTCGAGGTTTCAGTCAGCGTGAGGGAGTTGACTTCTTTCAGACCTTCTTCCCACCACCCGAAGATGACCACTCTTCTGGTGTTGCTACACGTTGCAGCACAGCGCGACTACGAGCTGCACTCCCTCGACTTCTCGACAGCTTTCTTGCAGGGTAGCCTTCACGAGGCCATGTGGTTGCGCCGTCCACAGGGCTTCACTGGATCGTTTCCTGAGGGTACCCAGTGGAGCCTACGGCGACCAGTGTACGGCCTGCGTCAGGCGCCCCGTGAGTGGCACGACACACTGAGGACGACGCTTGCGGCTCTTGGTTTCGCTCCCTCGACAGCTGACTCGTCGCGGTTGCTGCGCACTGACACCACTCTGCCGGCGTTCTACATCCTCGTGTACGTCGACGACTTGGCCTTTGCTACTCCTGACACTGAGGCACTGGCCCGCGTGAAGACGGAGCTGCAGAAGAGACACACCTCCACTGACCTGGGTGAGCTGCGGAGCTATCTTGGCTTGCAGATCGCCTGGGACAGAGCACGGCGCACCATCACCCTGACGCAGTCACACATGGTGCAGCAGGTCCTTCAGCGCTTTGGCTTCACGTGGTCCTCGCCACAGCCCACTCCTCTGTCTACCGGCCACGTCTCGTTCTCAGCTCCACCTTTGGACGAGTCCGTAGAGCCGAGTGGTCCGTACCCAGAGCTTGTGGGTTGCGTCATGTACCTGATGACGTGCACACGACCTGACCTCGCGTACCCTCTCAGCCTTCTGGCTCGCTACGTGGCTCCTGGTAGACACCGAAGGTGCACTTTGATGCTGCGAAGAGGGTACTCCGTTACTTGTGCAGTACATCGATCATGGGCCTCGTGCTTGGAGGACGGGGTTCAGTGGTACTCACAGGACATTCCGAGGCTTCTTGGGCCAACGACCAGGCGACTCAGCGTTCGTCACAGGGTTACACCTTCAGTCTTGGCTCTGGTTCTGTCTCGTGGAGGTCCACTCGTTCTTCTTCTGTGCTTGGTTCCAGCTGTGAGGCCGAGATCTACGCTGGGGCCATGGCTGCACAGGAGCTCCGCTGGCTGACCTACCTGCTGACCGACTTGGGGGAGCGGCCTCGTTCTCCTCCAGTTCTGTACGTCGACAACAAGGCAATGCTTGCCTTGTGTTGCGAGCAGAGACTGGAGCACAGAACGAAGCACATTGCTCTTCGCTACTTCTCCTTGCGCGTGAGCTGCAGCAGCGTGGTCAGCTGTGCCTTGCTTACGTGGCCTCTCGGGCCAACACTGCTGATGTCTTCACCAAGGCCCTTGGGTCTGGTGATCATCAGCGTTTGTGCACTGCTCTTGGGCTTGTGCCCACTCTGCCTCACTTGCTGGTTGCTTGACTTGCTCTTGTTGTACACTGATATATATCTTTATACCTGCATGTTTCCTGCTAGGTTGTGATCAGTGTACTGCCTTGCTATTATACTCTGCTGCATTGTGCGCTTGTACCTTGTGGCCTTGTGGCCGCTTGCTTGTGCTCAGATTGTGTGGTGTCCTTGAGATCCACCCTGAGCTTTGCTTTGTTCTCTTGCTTGACTGGTCTTGTGACCATTTGCTTGTCTTGGTCATTCTGATCCCTCTCACTTAGGCTATGCGGGTGTGTCAAAGTTTATATCATAGTTCTTACTTAGCCTATAGTGAGATGCATCTTAGGGGGTACAACTTTTCTCTCGTCATTCTACTTGTACCCCCCCTTGACCTAGTCGACATCATTCCTCTTCTCTTAGTTCAACAGCGGACTCTGTATGCATCTTCGTTGCAAGAGCAACCAGACGTGAAGCTCCTTCCTCTTGTTCTTGAAGCCTTCGGTTGCTTCAGTACGTCATTCCTCGGCTTCATCAAGAACTGCAGCCGACGAGGGGGGGCCAGAGCTAATTTTATCAGTGTAAATCGCTCTGATACCCTTATAATCAGGGTGGTTATTTGTAGTCACACTTTTGCCTTAGGGTAATTCTTTGCAGGGGCTTAGATTTTACTGATATGCGTGTAATCGTTTCGTCTTAGTGAGTTTTAACCCTGGAGCGAGTACCACTCCTCCCTCCCATCCCCCCCCCCCCCCCCCCCCCCCCCTCCCCCCCCTTTCCCTTTCCGTAACCCGGGATTCCCGTTGGCTGACTGCCAAACCAGAAAATTTCGCACAGACAGTACATGTGTTGGCACGGACTTGAACACCATTTGTCAGAATTACAGTTTCTTTTGTGGCACCGCCAAGGACGCAACTCGGTCTTGTTGTCTGACATGCCAACAAGGCCGGGTTTGTTGGAAACCTGGCTAAGTGCAGCAGAACGTCGGCGCCCACAAGCCCACTGGGCACTGCGTTCCTAGCAAGGATGTGGGTGGCTCAGTACTTCGTTTTGCTTGCACGATAGGAAACAAGCGGAATGGGTGCACCAGCAAGGTTGTGGTTGTGGGTTGGAAACGAGGGACCTCTCTCTCAGTGACGATTTCCTACTGAGCTAGACTTTTTTCTCCATACACACCAGCAGCCATGGCACCTACACAGGACGATGAGGGAGGTGATGTTGAGGACGAGCCACCGAACGTAGCTCCCCCGCGGTCAGGCCTAGATTCCCTGCGAGGGCTGCATCAGAACCCTCCACTGACCGCATTGCAGGCCCGTCAACATGCAGCGGCGAATATGGCTGCGTCCCGGCTCGTCAAACCGCTCGCTCCCGACAGTGAACCCCCACTGTAATTGTAACAGAAGTCGGCGAGTCTTCATCTGCTGCCTTGGCGAAGAGCGTCGCTTCACGCAATGCGTTCTCCCTTTCGGCACGCCGCCAGAGAAGCCGACTCCGCCTCCGCCCCCCGTCAAAGCTCCCGCGCCAGTGTCCCGTGAACTCACCAAAGCCGAAAGGCAGAGTCGAATTCCTGAAGGCGCAACAACTTTACATCATGCAGTGGCTTCCCAAATTTGATTGGCTGCTGCTTGATAGATAAGAACGATGACGGCTTGCCTATCTTGCGATGCAGCGTCTGTGTCGAGCACGGCAAGGACGATGCCAGTTCGGCCGCAACGGAACTGGGGGACGCGATCTTCAGCTCGGCTCCATGAGATGTCACGGGCTGAGTGTACGCCACGACGAAGCGATGAAGAAGCAGGGACTCTCATGGCGAACGTCGAGAAGCAGAAACGCATTGACGATTTCGCCAACGCCGACAAGGAGGGCGCGCGGCTCACTCGTCTCATGCGGAGCATAGAGTTGATATCTGCGACACGACGCCCTGATCACCATGTTTCCCGAAGCTCGTTGGATTTTTGGCGGAGGAGGGAGTCGCCGAAACCCCCTGCAGTCTTACGGGGTTTACATTACACAGTAAGTCTACCGTTCGATTTGCCTACCCGCCGAATGATAGTTTCTGTGGTGTGTTTCCCGATCAATGTTTTACACCTACCGTTGCGTGTGGCAGGTACGGCTTCAACGAGATGGCCGTGGGCGATGTCGAAGTACCAGAAAGGTCAACAGCTACAGCATATTAGCGCTTCACCGTTCATCGGCCTGACATGCGATGAGAGCACCGACCGCGCGCGTGCCAAACACTTGATATGTTTGCCACGTTCCTCAAGAATCGTGTCGCCGTCACAGAGTTCCTGGCGCTGCTTACGGTGCAAAACTGCGACGCGTCTTCGCCTTTTACCGTGCTCATGAGCCACCTGGACTCGATCGTGTCGACATCAATTGGGTGGCCCGTCGGCACCGACGGGGCTTTTGTGATGACGGGCGATAAGGAGGCCTTGTGTTTCGCTTGCGGGAGTGCATTCCGCATGTCGTCGGGTGTCACTGCATT